AACCAACATCCACTATCTGGAAATGTTATCAGAATGAAATTCAGAGCGGAAAATTCAAATGAAAAAACCACAGTGAGAAAAGAGCGGTGAGACGCTCCCCTCCCAAGGGCAGGCACCCCGCTGGCCTCTGGAGGTGTGGAAAGGGGGAGCGAGGCCCATGGAGCAACGCCCCCTTGCTGCCCTGGGAGGATGGAAGTGAGGCCTCATCTGAGATGGAATGGGACTTCCTCTTCGTCCTGGAGATGGGCTCCCAGGGGAGGCATCGACCCCCTTCTTTCCTCCTCTGTCTCAGGAAGGCCTCCTCCAACACTACCCCAGGGTGTCCAGCTTCAGCGCTCGCCTCCGTCCCATGACCCGGATCCCGGCCGCACACACACTGGGCTCCCTGGGCTAAGGCAGGGGTGGCCTGGCTGTCCAACTGACTGCTCTGGCCCAAGGACAAGGCCGGTGCTGGGCACGTCCCTGGGGAGGTGGCTGCCCCCAAACCCCCACTGTGAGCCCTGGTTGAGTCAGGCCTGGAGCTTTGGACACGGCCACACTGTGCTGTGCAGAAACAGTCCCCTCCATAGGGCAGAAGGGCCCCAGCTGGGGAGCATGGACTGCGCATGCTCAGCACTCCACAGGTCTGGCTCCCCTGGGCGGCTCTCCTAGGTGCTCCGCTGGCCTGAGAGCACCCGCTGCCCCCCACTTGTCCCCCCCTCCCGTGAGAATCCCTGGCAACTGCCCCTGTCCTCGGCTGGCCCCTCCTGGCCCCACCCCTGCCCAGGGCACTGTCCAAGACAACTGCAGCCAGGCTCATCTTCCTGGCCCACTGCCCACACTGACCCCATTCCTTGTGGAGCTGGCTACGCCCAGGCCATGGTTCGGCCAGGAGCACGGTGGGCAGCCAGTCCTGCTGCTCAGAAAGGCCTTTCAGCTGGTGGCAGGAGCTGAGCGTGACAGTACTTGGTGTTTAGTCCACAGGCAGCCATGGTGGGGCAACACTGGGGTGTCCTCCATGCTGCCCTGCCCCAGCCTAAGCATGTAAGTTCAGGGGGACCCTGGGGAGGAGGAGGCAGTGTGATGGGGGGCCTGAGAGGACATGGAGTGGGTGAATTCACTAGTGTTGGTTTGCAGCCCAGCCAAGGCCAGAGCTTGAAATGGCTGCAACCTATGGACAAGACACTCAGTGAACAAGGTCTGTTGTCTAGAGGTCCGCCAAGACAGAGGGACATTGGAGGGAAACTGGCTGGCCCTGGTGTGCCCAGAGCTAGGGAGGTGCAGTCCAGGCTGTGGACTGTCAGGTAGAGGGAACCACCCTTCATGTCCTGAGCTGACACTGGTACCCACAGGTCTTGGTCCGGCGACTCGACAATGGCACAGAGCTCCGTGGCCGCATTGTTGAGACTGAGGCATATTTGGGGCCCGAGGATGAAGCTGCCCACTCGAGGGGCGGCCAGCAGACCCCCCGCAACCGCGGCATGTTCATGAAGCCGGGGACCCTGTATGTGTACTTCATCTATGGCATGTACTTCTGCATGAATGTCTCCAGCCAAGGTGAGCAGTGCTGGGGCTGGAGCAGGAGGCCTGGACACAGCCCCCTGAGCTGGCAGCTGGCAGCTGGCAGACCCCTGGGAAGACCAGGGGAGGGCAGGTGTTTGAGCAAGGAGGTGCCATTGCTGGGCTAGGTCAGGGTTCAGGAGCTCTGGCCGTGGTCACAGGGTGGTCAGAGAGGCTGGGGACCCCCATGAAATAGAGGTCATGGGTTAACCCAAACACACAACACACAGGTTCCATGAGGCCACCGCTGGCTCCAGAGCTGCGACGTGGTGTCACCAACAGGCCAGGGTAGACTCAGGAGGGGCTGGCTGTGGGAAAAGGAGGGTGGAATCTATTTGAGTTGAGCAGGGCTCTGGCAGGAGCCTTGCCAGGCGGCCAGTTACAGGGCCTGAATCGGTTCTCAACCGGGGATGATTCTGCCCCCCCTGGAGGAACATTAGGCGTTGTCTGCAGGCATTTTGGGTCTTCACGGCTGGTGGGTTGGTGCTGAACAGCTCACAATGCACAGGAGAATCACCAAAAACTGTTCGCCCCAATGTCGGTGCCACGGGGGGAGATGCTGGACTAGGCTCCCAGAACCCACTCAGCTCATGGGGCCTGTCCGGGGGGCCTCTGTGCTTTGGGAGCAGGTGGCTTTGCTTTCTGGGTGGTCTGTGCTCGAAAGACAGAGCCCACAGCACCATCTCATCAGAGCCACTCTGACAGGAGCAGGGTCTGCCCAGCCCACGCTGGCTTCCAGTCCCCGCGTCTGCCTGCCAAGCCTGATGCTGGTCCCAAGAAGAGCGGATGCTTGAGGAGGTCCGTGGGGACGGGTTTGCTGTGCTGTAAGTCAGACACATTTGTTGAATGATTCCAGGGGCGTGGGAGCTGTGAGTGCCTAGGGCAGCTGGGGGTGTTCGTTACCAGAGCTGCAAGGGCATGAGGACTGGATAACCGGCTGGCCCTGTGCCTGGCACAAAAAGGGTGTTGATGGAAACAGTGGCTGGACATCAGGATGGCGGGGAGCACTCCCAGGGCCATTTCCCTCTGGAGCTTATTTTGGTCGCCATGTGAGGTGGGACTGAACTCAATAAGGAGGGAGACTGAGTCCAGAGGAGTCTGGGGCTGTGGTCAGCAAGGCAGGGAGGAGCCAGGGCTTCTGAGGGTGGGCAGGGCAGATGTGGGAGGTGGCGTTATTACTTTCTGGACACATGACCAACATGCCCCAGGAACACCTAGTTCAGGGGAGCAGCAAACCACATGGGTACAGAGTCAGTGCCAAAGGTTATCCAGATGCATCAAGGGCGAGGGGGCCAAGGTCGAGCTCCATGCCTGCCTCCCCTCAGGGTGGACTCAGTGCAGAGATGACCAGGGGAGCAGTTGGTGGGGGGTGGGAGGGGCGTTGCCAAGGCCAACAGGTGGTGCCGGTGGAGTAGAGCTGAGACTGGAGACTCTGTGGGAAGGAGTTAAGATGTTCTGGTTCTGTCAGGGTGCAGGATTCAGGTGTGTTCCAGGAGAGTGGGCATGGGATCGAGGGGGTAGGCTGCTCCTGCAGCCCATTTGGGAGGCAAGAGAGTGAGGCACGTGCTACACCTACAGCAGCTCGGCATGGACACAGAGGAAGCCCTGAGGCTGGTGGGCTAGGCAGGGCCTAGCAATTAGAGGGACTGGAACTTCAAGTCTTTGCTTGCCCTTAGTATATCTTTTTCTTTTTTCTTTTTTGTTCATCCTCACCCAAGGATCAAATTTTCCATTGATTTTTAGAGAGAGTGGCAGGAAGGAGGACAGAGAAAGAGAAACATCGATGTGAGAGACATTAATTGGTTGACTCCCGCATGAGCCCCAGGGCCAGGGATCAAGGGATCAAGCCAGCAACTAGGTACGAGCCCTTGACTAGAATCGTATCCGGGACCCTTCCATCTGCAGGCCAATGCTCTGCTCTGTCCACTGAGCCAAAACGGCTAGGTCTGCCCTTAATATACTTTCTTCTTTTTTAATTTTTAAAATATATTTTTATTGATTTCAGAGAGGATGGAAGGAGACAGAAACATCAATGATGAGAGAGAATCATGGATCAGCTGCTTCCTGCATGCCCCACACTGGGGATCAAGCCCACAACCCAGGCACGTGCCCTGACCAGGAATCAAACTGTGACCTGGTTCATTGGTCAGTGCTCAACCACTGAGCCATGCCAGCTGGGCTGCCCTTAGTATATCCTGAGGTTCTTTGAAAACTGGCTGGTTAAAGCATCTGGTCCCAGAAACCCCACCTGCCAGCTGCTGGCTGTGCAGGGAGCGTAGCTGCTGCATCCACACAAAGTTCTCCCAGCGCTGATGAGGCCTGTACGGTGAGGCCCACGAGTGGGGACTGGCCTGGCCACCCCTCAGGCTGAGCTTCTCAGACCCCCCGGTAGAAGGGCAGGCCAACATGAGTCAGCAGAGCTGGTGTTTCAGGAGAGTGGCCTTGTTGGGATTGGGCTTCTCTGGCCAGGGTCCAGGTATCACTGCCCCTAGCCATGCAGGGCCAAGGGAATTTGGACCAATGTCTTTTTGGGCCCAGGATGTCAACTTGCTGAAGTAGCCTGGACTGGGGGGCCAGAAAGGATCCCAAAGAAGGGGTGCTATCAGCAGGCACCTCCCTCTGCCCTGTTTGTCTCCCCACTGAGTCATGGGGTGAGGCTCTCCCAGCATCCTATGCACACTGCTAGCTGCTCAGAGCCAACCTTCTGGCTTGCCCAATAGACACCGAGTAGGTAGAGGCAGATGGGGGAACCCTGGGCCTGGGTAGAGATGACCATGCCCAGGGAGGACCGGCCATTTGGGGTTTCCTTTGCCAACCTCAAAGCTGCTGCTGGTCGCCAAACCAGAGGAAGCCAAGAAGAGGCCAACTGCAAGCACTTGCCGTGCCTTTTCACTGGTTCTCCCTAGCTGGCGGTCAGGCCCTCTGGCTTCATGGAGGCCCCACCTGGGGCCTTGTGGGTGCAGGTGTGTAGGAAGTGGGTCTGGACTGTGAATGAGTACAGGGGTGCTCAGGAAGGCAGCTGCATCATCCTTGCAGCACTGGCTGTGCCCTGAGTAGGGAGGGCCAGTCACTGTCTGTCTGTCCCACAGGGGATGGAGCATGTGTCTTGCTGCGAGCACTGGAGCCCCTGGGGGGCCTGGAGACCATGCGGCAGCTTCGCAGTACCTCCCGGAAAGGCAGTACCGGCCGGGCCCTCAAAGACCGTGAGCTCTGCAGTGGCCCCTCCAAGCTCTGTCAGGCCCTGGCCATCGACAAGAGCTTCGACCAACGAGACCTCACCACGGACAAGGCTGTGTGGCTAGAGCACAGCCCCCCGGGGCCCAGGGAGCCAGCGGTGGTGGCAGCAGCCCGAGTGGGCATCGGCAACGCAGGAGAGTGGGCCCAGAAGCCCCTGCGCTTCTATATCCAGGGCAGCCCCTGGGTCAGTGTGGTGGACAGAGGAGCTGAGCAGGACACACAGGTCTAAGCAAGGGCCTGCTAAGGACAGGCTTTTTAATTGTTTAAAAACCAAATAAATGCTTCATTTCTAGAAAACGTGTCACTTGTGTCTCAGCCAGAGCCCCCTCAATGACCAGTTCCTCCTCCAGGATGTGGCTGTCAGGGGCTACGTGTGCAGCGGGCACCTCAAGCCAGGCCCAGCATGGGCACTGCCTTCCTCAGGCCCGATGAAGGCCCACTGCACCCCCACCCTTGTGAGGGAGGACTGGGAACACCAGTGCAGAGCCACCCCAACGGGGAGCCAAGTAAGCATCGTGGATGAGCCCAGGCCCTCATGCCTCAGGTGGCAAAGGGGAGTGGATGGCTAAGGCATGAGCCTCCTGGTGGCTATGGTGAGGGCCGGGCCAGGAAGGCCCACAGCAAGCTGGGGGGAAGGGGCAGGATTGGGAGGGAGGTCAGAGAAACATGTGGCCCAAATCTGTGTGGGAAGCATGCAGGCCTCACTCAGAGCATGAGTCCTGGACGGCTCTCCAGCTCAGAGCCTCACCCTCTCAGCGCAGGCACTGGACCTGTTTTGAGGACTAGACAGGTGAGAATGCAGAGGGTGGCAGCCCCAGGAGGCAGCTGACGCAGGTGAAGTCGGGTCTCAGGGCTAAAAGGACTCAGGCCGGGTCGGGAGGGAGCCCTGGGGTGGGGAGATGCGGGTGCCCCCATGCACTGCAGCTGCCTGCCTCTGCACCCTCGGCCCAGGCTCACGTCAGCAGGGCCTGGAAGACGGCAATGACTGGGTCCTCGTGGGTGGTCACCACCAGCACGCTGCGGAACTTGTCGAAGAGCATGAGCAGCTGCGAGCGCCTGGTGTTCTCATTGTACATGATCTCCTCCAGGTGGTGGCGGCCACGGAAGTACTGCAGCAGCCTGGAGGGGAGGGCGGCACAAGCCCAGGCTGGCCTCTGTTCCAACAGCCACTGAGCGGCCCATAGGCCAAAACAGAGCTGGTGAGGGCGTCTCAGAGGCCCAGGAGGCAGCTGCCCATGCCCACCCCCAACCAACAGGAGCAGGCAAGTGTCCTGGGCCTGTTGCCCACCATGGTTCTCTGAAGTGGGTCTGTGAGAACACATTCCTGTTCAAACCCCAGAGCCCACTTGAGCCCGAGGGTCGCACCCACCCTCAGCATTCTGACATGGGAGGGGCAGTGCTGGGGGACAGGTCTGGGGAGGCTTCTCTTTTTCATTCTATTGGCAGCAAGTCCCATGTGGCTCTGGATCCAAATGGGGTCACTGCTCTAGGGGGTGTCTCGGCCGGGACTGAACAGAGGCCTGGACCAGCTGCTTGAAAAAGCTGCCCGGCATGTGGTTCTTCACTGGGGGCTCAGTCCCTGACAGTCTGACCTCCAGAAAACCATCGTCTACACTGCCCCAAACTGGGTGGGTGTGACCAGGTCTATGTCACCTATGATGTGGGGATCTGGATCCCCCACACCCAGGCTAAGTCCTGGGGAAAATCACTGCCTAGCCCATGGGGATGAGAACTTGCTGCTGCTTCCCAGGAAGTGACAAACCCCAGGAAGTCCTGGAGAGACTCCTGAAGACAGAGATACAGACAGTGTCTCGGCAGCAGACTGAACTCGCGCCTGGCGTGCACAGGTAGCAGTCAGGGGCACCCCAGTGTATGGGACTTCCCCTCAACCGGTGAGTGCTATTTGTCGTCAACGGATTTACATTGCAGGTTGTTGGGTACAGCCCCTTCCACTTCCTGTCCTGATCCTAGACTTGGGCCTAGCTCCACCGGTCGCCCGCTCCCACCTGGCAAACATGCGGAGGTCCTCGGGGTTCTGGGCTGCAGGCACACTGAGGATGGCTGCCCGCTCGTGCTCGGACAGGCTGGCCAGCAGGTTCTCTGTCATCCTCTTGTTCAGCGGGGAGTCTCCACTGGGGAGAAGCTCTGCGCTGGAGTTGTCCATGCTGGGGCTGGTGAGCGTCATGTCGTCACTGCTGGCTACGGGTGGGCATGGGTCAGAGAGCAGTCCACCCCCAAGGACATCCGTCCCACCCAACATGCATGAGGGGCTGGACATATCTTCACCCTGAACCTGAAGCCGGAGGCCAAGCCTCAGCCTGGGGAGGCACCTCCCGCAAAGCTTTCCAGCCCCTTTTCTTCCCCAAGCCCAGGGACTTGGGCTTGGCAATGGCTGCTGCCTTTGGGGGCACACTATGGCCACACGGCTCTTTCAAGAAGGGACCACGGCAGTCACTGTCTCTCATAGGCCCTGGGGCAGAGGTTTCAATTGTCCTCCCAGTGATGGGTGGCATGGCAGGCTGGGGGCAGGCTACTCCTGGCTTGAGCAAGCCCTGCTCAAGAGCCCAAAGATACAGCCTCCTCAGAGCCAGAGGCGCAGGAAAGCGGGGAGACAGATCTCCTGCCCTCCTCTAGAAAGGCTGCGTGAGGACTCAGCCGCCCGCATGAGGCAGTGTGTGCATGGGTGGCCACGTGAAGTCCCTCGGCCATTCCCAGCAGCGCCCTTGAAGTACCTCTTGGCCACCACTCCCAAGTGTTCCCCAGGTGCTCAACCACACACACACACCAGACTGATGCCCGGGGAAGGGATTCCTACTTGGGGAGCCAAAGCTGAGGGCGTTGGGTGTGCTGAGGCTGCGGCCGCTGACCCTGGCAGTGAAGGGGACCTCATCCTCGCGCAGGCGGGGCTCGTCCTGGCTGGGTGAGGCCATCAGGCACACGTAGGTGTGCAGCTGGACCAGGAGCCTGTGCTGCAGCATCCACACCACCATCTGAATGAGCTGGGTCTGCGGGACAGCAGTGTGAGGCCTGGGGCACTGGGGGAGGCTGACCCCCACCACCACCCTGTTCCCTTCCTGATCGGATTGGGGAGCCATGGCCTAAGACACGACCCCACAAGTCACCCTGGAGATCAGGGGGTGCATCAGCTCCAGGGGCCCTCAGGAAGGAGCTCTTAGCTACTGGGAGCTCTTAGCTAACCCAGGGGAGGCAGCGAGGCTAGAGAGCAGTGAGGCCATATTGCAATTGCTCCCACCACACAACTGGGCTGCCCTAGTGTCAGGCCTTTCTTGCCCAGAGCTGAGGAGCAGGGCCTGTGACATGGAGGCCCATGTGCCCTCCCAGCGCAGAGCTACCCCTCTGCTACCCTGTCACCTCCAGGCCACTGGGCCCTGCCACGCAAACCCCACCAAACAGAGCTGGGCCTGTGGGACCCCTTCCCTGTGACACTGCAGAAAGAGGCTGTAGGAAGCTGCCCTGAGAGCAGGAAGTCCCCTCCTCAGCTCCACACAAAAGCCTTCCCAGGGACAGGGACCTATGCTGAGCGTACGGTGCCCAGGGCGCGGCATCCACCCCCCTCCCACAGGCTCGCACCTACGCAGGAGCAAGAGGAGCCCTGTGTGGGCAGAGCTCCAGCACAGGAGAGCAAGGAAATGCGCCCAGATGGTGTCCATGTTCTCAGACACACATCCACTTGCTCATCTTTGGGGGTCCCCTCCTGGGAGGGGCTGGCTGACCAGGCATGGAAATAGGGGTGTACCATGGGCGTGAATAACCTGGTAAAACCAAATAAAACTGAAAAGAATTGTAAACTAAATTTTAAATTAAATTAAGAAATAAAACAGAGGCTCCAAAGCACTGAAGAGCATGTTCCAGGCCTAAAGCTGGAGGGGTGAGAGGCAGGCAGCCTTACCCCACACCCAGCTCTATCTGGGCCCCATGACAAGGCATGAGGCTGCCCCGCAGGCCTGGCCTGAAAAATCCACCCACTTTCCAGACCAGCAGGAAGTCTCTGCTGGAGAGGGGGAGGGTACAGATGCAAGATGTGTCTTTCTTTCAGCTGCCATGACTTGGCACCGCTCCGGGAGCCCAGAGGCTCCATGAAAGACGGCATTTAGAGCCCTGTCTCACTCGGCATCTGAATGCACTGAGGAGCCAGGATCGCCTTCTCATTCACAACTTCACAAAGGGAAGGGCCTGCTTCTAAAAACTGGTTTTGTCTAACAGATCTGCTGCTTATTAAAGCAAATCCTTCACTTTTGAGAACACCTGGCCCCATCTCTGACACCTGTCCCATCTGGCCCTGCCCTGGGTCCCTGCCCAGAGCCCCAGTGTTCAGTGAAGGAATATTCAGGCCACACTCAACCGGCCAGACATAGATGGAGCTCCCCCGTTCACTCCACATGCCTCACCTCCTAGGGCCCCCACCCACCACTCACCTGGACCCAGATCACCAGGTGGTTCTATCCTAGGCCTATCCTCTCCAGGTCGTCTTGGATGCCACTCTGGGTACCAGTGAGCCTAGACCCACCTGGACCATGACGGAAGGGAAAAGGAGGGCGGGCCCAGGCTCAGCAGCTTCCATCTGTGGGACCCAGGCCCAGAAAGGGGCACCAGGGGCTCTGTCCCCCCAGGAAGGATTAGCTCTCTCCTGGCTGGGCCTCTTACTGGGGTTTTAACACTAACAACAACCCACTGCGGCAGGGTGGGCTCCGTGGGGGCATGGAAGGGGGCGGGAGTTGTGACTGCCTAAGTGCTGGGTCACTGGTGAAGCATCTACAGGTGCCTGGCTGGGGAGCCAGCCTTTTGTTACCCGGGTAGGGCACGCACCACCTACACAAGGCCCCTCCCATCCCCTGAACCACAGCTAAGGGGGCAGCACACTGCGGGCCCTGAAACCAGGAACCAATGCTGGTGGGTGGTTCCTGGGCTCCCAGTCCTGTGACTCACCTCCTGCACAGGGGGGGCCAGGGGGTTCCTAAATTCTGACAAGGAGACGGGCAAGGAGAACTTAGCAAGGACAGACGGCAGGTCATGAGACGGGAACTGGTGGGAGAACTGCTCAGCCAGTGGCGAGTACCTGGAGACAGTGAGACAAGTGTGTCCTGAGCTCAGCGACCTCCCATCATAATTCACAGCACTTGGGCCCTTGCCATGAGTCTGTGGGGAGGTGAGGATGGGCGCAATGGCACAGTGGGGAGGTGAGGATGGGCACAATGGCACAGTGGGGAGGTGAGGGTGGGCGCAATGGCACAGTGGGGAGGTGAGGGTGGGCGCAATGGCACAGTGGGGAGGTGAGGATGGGCGCAATGGCACAGTGGGGAGGTGAGGGTGGGCGCAATGGCACAGTGGGGAGGTGAGGGTGGGCGCAATGGCACAGTGGGGAGGGGAGGGTGGGCGCAATGGCACAGTGGGGAGGGGAGGGTGGGCGCAATGGCACAGTGGGGAGGGGAGGGTGGGCGCAATGGCACAGTGGGGAGGGGAGGGTGGGCGCAATGGCACAGTGGGGAGGGGAGGGTGGGCGCAATGGCACAGTGGGGAGGGGAGGGTGGGCGCAATGGCACAGTGGGGAGGTGAGGGTGGGCGCAATGGCACAGTGGGGAGGTGAGGGTGGGCGCAATGGCACAGTGGGGAGGTGAGGGTGGGCGCAATGGCACAGTGGGGAGGGGAGGGTGGGCGCAATGGCACAGTGGGGAGGGGAGGGTGGGCGCAATGGCACAGTGGGGAGGGGAGGGTGGGCGCAATGGCACAGTGGGGAGGGGAGGGTGGGCGCAATGGCACAGTGGGGAGGTCAGGGTGGGCGCAATGGCACAGTGGGGAGGTCAGGGTGGGCGCAATGGCACAGTGGGGAGGTCAGGGTGGGTACAATGAGGACAGAGCCCAGCTGCTTTCTTTCAAGGGGTGGCAGAAGCCATGGGCACAGGCCACCCCACAGCCCCTCTAAGCTCTGGAATGAAGGCCAAGGCTCCTGACCACCCCTCAGGCACCCCATACGGAGCTCACTGGCTGTAGACATGGCAGGCACAGGCCCTTCCTGAAGGCTGCAGGTGCCAGAGGCGCCCAGGCCCATGTGGTGCTGGGCCAGGCCAGAATCAGAACCTGGGCATGGCAGAGGCCAGGCATCTGGCCCAAGGGAAGTCCTGACTGACCTGGAGAGACCCCCTGGAAGGCCCTGCCAGCCACACTCTCTTCCCATTCAAACCCTGGGCCCTGGCAGCCAGAGGTACTCACAGACACACGCTGGCATTGGGAGAGAGCATGTAGACGTTGTTCTCACACAGCGGGTAGATGATGATGGCCTTGCCCCAGTACACCAGGTGGGCTGCAAGCTGGAAAACCTGCGGGCAGAGGGGCTGGCAGCACAGTGCCTGGGAGGCTGGCCCACTGGGCTTCTCTCTGACTCCCCAAGCTCCCGCAGGGGGCTGGGCACAGCAGCACACACAGCGTTTTCTATGTTCAGAGCAACAGCCTTTTGACACTGGTCCCTGTGCGGTCTGGGACTGTCATTTCCTTTTAGGGCCCCGCACTGTCCTGGCTGGCCCTGAGGGAAGGTCCTACACGCACAGGCACATTGGGGACACCCAGGATCAGGGGATAAGCTCGGCTGAGCAAGGGGCTTGGCTGGACATCCTGGCAGAGGCAGGTCCCCTACCCCCGCCAGGACTCCAAGGGGATGGGTTTCCATGTGACAATGGATGTGGGGTCACCAGACATGCCCTCTACCCCGTGCACTCATCCCCGTGTGGCTCAGCATCCTGGAGGACATCCCACTGCCTGCTCTCCTGGACTCTTGGACATCAGGATGGGCCACAGACAGACCGCGATGCCAGAAATCCCTCCAGCCTCACAGGGAGGCCCGGTCTGAGAACATGGCACTGCCTCACTTGGTGGAAAGACAGACACTGGGCACATCTGATGCTACGTCAGCCTCGGTGAGCACTGTCCCAGGCAGGCTGCTGCCTCTACCATCACTGAGCGCCTCCACGGGCGAGTCACCCCTGCCTGCATGCAATGCCTGCGATGCCAAGGACACCTCTACCCAGCTCATTTCGGCACATGGGACCTCCAATGGCACCACCCACTTGAACACAACAGACATTTCCGTTCTATCACTGACCCTCTTCTCTCATCCCAAGCCCCACTGACACTTACTCTAAAGCAAGGACACGCCCACTCTCTTCCATCTCGGCTACCACCCCACCCAGTGGTCTCCCCCGCCCGCGCCTCCCCACAGTCAGAGCACCACTCCGGAGTCCGGAGTCTACCACCACTAGCACATGCCTGGAGTCAGGTGCTGGCAGGGTAGCCCCCTCCGACTCTCGGGAAGAATCTGCTCTTCGCCTCTGCTGGCTGCAGCGTTGCGTTCCTTGGCATGTGGCCTCATCATGGTCAATCCCCACCTCCTCTTCTAGAGTCAAATTTCCCTCTGCCTTCCTCTTACAAGGGCCCTTGTGATGACACCAGGCCCACCCAGATAATACAGGACCACTGCCCCCCCTCCAGATCCTTAATCACACCTGCGAAGTCCCACACAGGTCCTGGGGGTTAGGAGGTGGAGGTCTATGGGCATTGTTTAGGCAATCACAAGTAATGTACAGTGTGATCCAAATGTTGTTATTCAAAGATAATGCATTAACCCTGTGGACGGCAAACCGCGGCTCGTGAGCCACATGTGGCTCTTTGGCCCCTTGACTGTGGCTCTTCCACAAAATACCAACTTCTGCGCATGGGCCATGAAGTTTCAATTGCACTGTATGTGCGTGCCCGCACGTGGTACTTTGTGGAAGAGCCACACTGAAGGGGCCAAAGAGCCGCATGTGGCTCACGAGCCACGGTTTGCCGAGCCACAGTTTGCCGACCACTGCGTTAACCTATGAGAAAAACCCAGAGGAATCCACAGCAGTTATGTTTGGGATATGGGATTGTGCGGACTTTCTCTTTTTTGGGTCTGTAAACTGTGTCCTATTTGAACTTTTGTAAGAAAGGACATATTAATTCCATCATGAGGGAAACAACCCCATTTACTTGTAGATGAGTGACATTCACACCCGACTCGGACACGGGCTCTCCACTGGGCCACCTGCTGTGGCAGCTGGACTCCTGGAGCTTGGTGAGGTCCACCTCCAGGGCTGGGCCTCGGGAGCTTCTGGACAACCACACCAGCCAGGAAACCAGTTCCTCCCCACGCAAGGCCGGGGCAGGGGAGCAAAGGAGACATCATCAAAGCTTTGTCTTTGTCCAGAGAGACTGAGAGCAAGCGTGAGGCACGGCGTACAGACAGACTTCCTGTTGGGCAGCCTCAGTGGACAGAAGGCCAGCTTCTTTCGAAGCTTGAAATGGCAGCTGCAAAGACTCACAGATATCTGCCACTGGCCAGCACTGGTCAGAACACAAGCTCTGCAGCACATACAGAACAGTGAGCGCATTTAAGGTTCTGTTTCGTGTCTGCTGTGAAGGCACGCAGGACGTGGTCCTCAATAGAGCCCCTATGAACACCAGGCAGAACCCAACAAACATTCTCACAGGGGCCAACAGAGGCCATGGGGTACAGATGATGGAAGGCTTGTTCTGGACGACGGAATGCGAGTCCTTGTTGGACAAGCTCCCCTCAGGGGCCCAGGTGGGCCAGCCTCTTGCCTGTGCTCCTCAGCCTGAGAGAACTGCCACCCAGTGGCCATCGCAGGAACTACATGTCCCTGGGACAGGCCCTGCTGCCCTCTGGTGGCCACACGGTGCTCACAGTCACCGGAACCAGAGGAGCCCCTGCCCTTGGCCTGCAATTTCTTCCTGTGCTTTTCCTTGGAAGCCCCCGATCCCAGATCCACCGCCAGGGCTGAGGGGGCCTCCATCCAATCAGAAAGGGCATCCCACAAGCACAGGGTTCAGCAGTGCAGGGGAGTGGTCAAGCCATGAGGTTAGGTCCTGGCTCTGCATGTGGGCAGGCCCATGCTGTGTCCTGCTCTCACTTCCCCTACTTTGAGGTTGCAGTACTGCTTTCTCCTGTGGCCACATGCTGTGTACCTCCAGCCCTACAAGCCAACCTGTCCTGGCACCTTCCCAGCACCGCAGGGCCTCACTTCTCTCTGCTGCAGCCTCACCACCCTCAAAGGAAGAGGAAGTCAGCCCTGAATCCAGACCTGACTCAGATTTCAGAGCCTCCAGCCAACCCCGGAGCCACTGTCACTGGCTCTTATCTGGATGGAGGCAGCCTGCTTTCCTGACACCCCAGCACCTCCCACCTTCAAACAAGGGCCCTCTGCTCTGCTGTACCCAGACCCTTCTCCCACCTATCCTTCCCTACCCAGGCAGTCTCCCCCAGGGCCCTAAGGCAATACCTGCAGCAAGGCCAGGTCTGCATCCTGGGCCAGCTGCTGCAGGTTCTTCACGGCAGACGTGGTCTTGATCACACGAACCAGGGCCGGGGAGCAGTCGAGTGGGAGCTCACCCAGCAGGGACTTCTCGTCACTGAGCAGCAGCAGGGCATGGTACGGGCTGTGGAGCAGTCAGGTCAGCAGGACATATGAGACACAGGTCCCCTGCCCCAGGCGTGCACCTGGAACACAAAGGTGCAGCTGGGGCCCCCAGGCACTGAACCTCAGAAAGGAGAGACCACAGGAGGAATTAGAGACAAGGGCAGTGGTAAGTCCATGGGGCTTTAAACATCTGCAAGGATTACTGTCACTCACTCACAGAAAGAAAGAAAAAATTACAACAAAACTGAAGGTCTGCCCAGCAAGTGTGGCTCCGTTGATTGAGTGTCGCCCCATGCACCAATCAGGTTTGATTCCCAATCAGGGCACAGGCCCCAGTTGTGGGCTCAGTCCCCAGTAGGGGGCATGCAGGAGGCGGTAGATATATGTTTCTGTCATCAATGTTTCTCTCTCTCCCTCCCTCTCCCTTCCTCTCTCTATAAAATCAATAAAAACGTATTTTTTTAAAAAGCTGAGGAAGGTCTGACAACCAGACTCCATCTCCCACTTCTGGGATTGCCCTGCAAACATTTGTAACTGAAAAAATAAATGAATCTTTCCTAAAGAAAAGAGTCCCAAATATGGGAAAAGTAAAATCGCTGCTGCGACTATGAATAGAACTACATAAAAATATGCTTAGCAAGGAAACCAGGAGGAAAGATACTAACTTGGAGCACAGACTGGGGGAGGGGAGAGAATGGGGCAGTGTTTTGCTTTCTTTCACCTTCACATTTTCTGCAATGTGCCCAGATTTCTTTTTTTAGTTAAAGAATATTTAAGGAAACTGAGGACTTGGTTGGGGGCTGGGGCAGAAGGAGATTGGGCTCAGCTCTTTCCTTGCAGGAAATCTATTAAATTAAGAAACAGGAGATCCCACAAGTTCAAATTCAAATGTAAGAGGAACCGGTGAGCAGCACCATGACAACAATATCCCCCCAATGGTACGTCTGTTCCCCAGGATGCTCAGTACCCAGGACGCAGGTGAGGACCTCAGCACAGAGCCCCACCCACCCAGGCAGTGCCCAGACGCCCAGGGAAAACCTGGAGCTGGTCCTTTCTATACAAAACCAGACACAAAAACATGTGTTTTCACTTCTATAAACAGGAGCGCCTGACCTGCCAATTTCTGAGGCAGGAAGAAAAGAGCTTTTGGAACAAAGTAACTGGTGAAACCTCAGGCAGCAGAGAAGGGGCCCGCAGGGAGTGTGCCTGGGCTGGCACTCACCGAATGGCCTTCAGGCTCCGCTCGATGGCTTCAGGGGGGATGAGGCTCGCAGCAGCGTAGTGGATCTTGTGGGGCAGGCAGAAGCTCACCTCCAGCCAGCTGTTGATGTGCAGCCGCACCACGCCGGACGTACACAAGCTGCAGACAGCAGGCTCCATTTCTGCCGGTGCCATCGCCCATGCACACAGCAACTGCTACCCAGACACACACACACACACACACACAACACCCCGCCCGAGGGCACTTCTTCCCAGTGCACTGCTCCTGGTGGTCGGAGGAAACTCCACGTGGAGACCCCAGGGCAGGAGAGCATCTCTCCAGACTCAGCATGTTGAAGAGAGGAAAATGTTGTATTTCTGGCTAGCCCTGGACTCTATAGTCCAATCAGAGTGCAAGGGCACAGGGAAGCCTGTTCTCTCTCAGAGGCTCAATGCAACGGATGCAGGGGTGTTTTCTCATGCCTCTTCCTGCACACCTGATGAGAGCCCCGCCCCCTCACAGGTGGCAGGCAGGCAGGGCAAGGCCTGTCCCCCAGAAGGAGCCGTGGGCAGCACAGGAAGGGCGGGGGTGCCAGGTCCCACAGGGCATCCTGGGGGGAGGAGCACATAGTGCCCACCTCCCTGCAGATGCCAGCAGCGCCCCAGGTGCGCCACAGCAGCTGTCGAAACCAGCCTCACTGATGGCAATTTGGTTCTTTCAGGCCAGTCCTCGCTCAGACCAAACACAGCAACTCTGTCCCTGCCTCCTCTCTTCTCTCACTGCCTGCCTCAGACCGTTAGCAAACGTGTCTCACCACCTGCAGGGACCTACAAAGCACAGTCCTTCTCAGCACTGGCCCCGTGTCCACCCTCCCCCACAGGCCCCATGGCGTCCACCTCGGCAGTTCCAGCCAAGACCCCCAAATGCCAGGAGCCTTGAGTGACGTGCCCACGTTCTCTGACCTTGTCTCCCACCCCAGGCAGGCCCAGCTACACCAGCCTCCCTGCTGTTTTAGGGCCCTTGTACTTGTCCTCGACTGTAAGTCTCCCTCCAGGTGCCAGGAGCTCCTTCCCTCCTTCAGCTTTCAACTCAAGTGCCACTTTCTCGGTGAGCCGCAGCCCCCCAGGCAATCTGACTGCTCACTGTTGACCTGCCTTGAGCACCTGACCACAGGACACGCCTACTTGTCTGCTGGTTAAGCTGTTTCCTCCACCAGAATGCAGTCCTGAGGTGGGGCCTTGCGTTTTGTTCACTGCTCACAGCATGGCTGACTCCGTGTGGGATACTTGGGGGCACTGAGAAGCACCTCATAAATGAAGGAAGGAGAGGGGCCTGAGGGATGCGCTTCCTGCTCTGGTGGACTCTCTCAGGCAGCCCTTGCCCAGAGAACGGGCTCCTGGCGGCTGGGGAACCACATACCAAGGGGCTGTTTCCAGCAGGAGCTTCTGAAACTCCCCGGCAGGGAAGCCAGCCTGACCTCCACCCTCAGCCCGGCTGCTCAGCCCCTCCACTGAAAGCACTTGGTGTCTGACACAAAAGAGAAGCAACTGCTTGAGCCAAGTCCCCACAGCTGGTCCTCGCTGTCCCCCAGCAAGTGATGAGAGGGGCCCGTGCCCACTGTGAAGGTCTGGCCTGCCCGGACCCAGCTGGGCTAGGCGGTGCTCCTTCCATCACATTCCGACCCTGAAAGGCTATTCCCAGCTGGATGGACAGACCAAGATGCCCGCCTCCAGCCAAGTGTGGGGCAGGCCAGTGGCTGGGGGAGGTTTGGTGGGAGCTGCCACTTCACCCAGGTCCCACACCTCTCTTGGGGGCATTCAGGTACACAATGCTGGGAAGCAGCTCCATGGCCCTCACCCCCCACACCCACCGGCTGTTCTTACAGTCTCTTCCCTGAAGCCTCAAGCAGCAGACCGACAACCCCAAGCTTCCCCCACAGGTCTGCCGAGGGCTGGCTGAATCTGTGGTCAGCAGTTTCAAATGCAAAAATAAGCCTGTATTCTCTCAAGCAGGGAATGGGGAGAGAACACAGTGGGAAGGATACAGAGCACATTTATCACCCTCAACTACCCCTAGGATTTCTGCCAGCACCAGCCATTTGCTCCTGCAAACTGCCCCAGAGCTCCCAGACACTCTGCCGGCCCTGCCTCGGGCACGGGGAACACCATGCCCTCTCCCAGGATCTCAGTGCCCCAAGCAGCACCCCTGGCTGCAGAGGCGGGGGCTGCAGGCTGTGGCTGAGTCTGGAAGACCAAGGTTTGGTCGCTGCTGGTGCCCCAGCCCCACAGCGTGAAACCTATGAACAGATCTGATGTGTGACGATCTGGGGAAGAGACGCAGGGTCTTTCCCCAAGGCCCCAGCGGAAGATCCCACTCTTGGCTTCTTCTAGAGCTGAGTGCTACGCAGTACATCTCAGCAGACGAAGGCTCCCATCGCCGTGCCCTTCCTTGGCCGAAGGTCTTGCTGGCTGGACATCAAACCCTGACACAGCCCAGCCTCTTAAGGAATCAAAGGTCACACCAGGAGAGAGCTGCCCAGGGGGCCCAGGTTAGTTGCTCCACTTGACTCAGTGAGCAATATTTATGCTCTCAGCATCACATACGAAACAGCAGCGAGGAAAACCAGGGGCTGTAGGGACAGTGAAATGACCAGGCTCCTCCTGCTTCAGGCTGGCTGATTGAAAATAAAGGTCTTTCTAGTTTTGAGTTGTCCTCTTCAGCACATGGCTCAGAGCAGCTGTTCAAACACCCCAGAATCAGATTTAGACAGATTCCTATCATTTTGAAAGTAGCTGGTTTTGATCCACCCAGGTGCCCAGTGATGCCACGTGCAAACTGCCAACGACCTGACATGTGCTGAGGCTCCAAGCACTGGTTCAGGCTCCTGGGGTAAACCTCACAGCCTTACATTTGGGGGGGCTCTGCCTCAGTGGCGTCGGGGAAGCAAACTGTATGGCACATAGGAAGCTGGAGAGAGCTGTGGGAAAGGGAACAGCAGAGGAGGGTGCAGGGGTATGCAGGGGACCGGTGTTTAGGGCTTGGAACAAACCTCAGGGAGAGACAACAGCAAGTGCCTGGTTTGGGTGTGAGGGGGATGAATTAGGCCCATAGAGCAACTCCACATGTCAGCCATCCCAGGCCATACCGTCTGGTGTACAGTGGCATGAGGTCCTTTTTTCGGGGGGGGGGGGGGGGGGCACACTCACATTGATTTCCTGGCTTCCATGAGGATGTTTCTACACTTTTCCAAGCATCTGCTCACCTGCCAGCAACCTCCTCCCCCGGAGCACTTTGCACGATGGTGGTGCCCCTCTACAAACAGCGTGGGGACCCTGAACGCCACCCCAGCAGCATCTCAGAGGGCCAGCTCAGACCCTAGCGTTCCTGGGAAACCCTGGAACTAGTCAGGAAGAGAGAGAATGGCCCTCAAGCTCCCAGAGGAGCCTGTAAACTCCCACACCCAGAGGGGAGCCGGAAGTGCACTGACATCTGTCAAGAGGAGGAAGAAAAAGGTTTGTGCCTGTTTGTAAAGCACAGTTTTGTTTTGTTTGTAAAATACAGTTTTAAGACATGACCAGCAGAGTGGGGCTTTGGCCCTAAAAGTCCCTACTAAGCTTGCACTTCTCTTTGTAGGGCAGCTAGCAGTTTGATCTGGAATTACTGTAGGAAAACGCTGCCCCATGTGAGGCTTATCCAGCTTCACACAGCTCTGGGCCAGAGGGAGAGCCAAGCCCTGTCTGCGACGAAAGATACATGCATGCTCCTGCCAGAGCCCAGCCCTGAAGCGATGACTGTGCATGAGGCCACACTCCAGCCCAAAATATGCTTATCTTTCACCCCCCAGACAGAAATGTGTACAAGCTTAGTCCATTACCCTCAGATCTCAGCATGAGAAAGACTTTCAGTTCCTAACCTCTGGCTAACAACTGGCTCATCCTTTGGTCACCCTTCTTCCTGCCCCAGGCCAGAGACCTTCAAAGCTAGCCCTGACCTTCTGGTCCCTTTGTCTCACGCAGCCGGGCTTCCCCGTGCATGCAGTGGGACCCTGCACCTGATCCAAGAGGTCGGGGTGGGCTCCGAAAGGCCCACCTTGAAATTGCAAACAGAAGTTCCTATGCAGGTCCATTTCATGGAAATAGGAACTAAAACTCCCAGGATGCTCGTGGAGGTGTCTGTGGGCCCATATCTGCTCTGGACAGGCAGCAGTGTGAGGCAGTGAGGAGCGGGCAGAGTCCCCAGCCTCACAGGCCCCACCACAGGCCCTGAATGCCACCCCAGTTAACGATGGAGAACCAGTCAGGCAAACACTTCAAGTCCATGGAATCCACAGAGACGTGACTCCTATTACTGGTCCTTTCAACTACTAGTGGGTGAGCTATGCTTCTCCACACGCCAAGCACAGGGCTGCGTCAGGAAAAGTGAAGGGATGTCCCTGACCTCGTGGGAGACACAACCTGACGGTTACACAAATGAATGGGATGCTATCACTGAGGTCACCAAGTTCCACAGGAAGACGCAGGCGCTAGGACAGTCGGGGTCTCTGCCCGCCTACATTCACAGACACTTAGGTCCTTGGGCAAGGGGCCACCAGGCCGCTCAGCCACACCATAAACCTGGATTTTATTATTATTTTAAAATATATTTTTATTGATTTCAGAGAGGGAGAGAGAAATAGAAACATCAATGATGAGAGAGAATCACTGATGGGCTGCCTTCTGCACACCTCTACTGGGGATCGAGCCTGCAACCATGTGGCCTGACCAGGAATCGAACCGTGACCTCCTGGTTCATAGGTTGATGCTCAACCACTGAGCTGCTATGGCTGGGTTTTTGGATTTTAATTAAAACACCAAACTCAGAGCAATTCCTTTGAAAAGTCCCATCCCAATCTCCAACACTGCTATGTCTCACAGCTTCCTGTCTCTCATTTCTGCTCTGAGAAACCCTTCCCCAGGGATCTGTCAGGAAGTCGCTATCTGTGTTGTTATGCTGCCTGATCAGTAACAGAAACTCAGCCTCCCTTTCTTAGCTCCTAAGGTGCAGTCCATTCTGCAGGAGTGAGGGCAGGCCAGGCCAGACCCTCAGGGCCAACATGGACCTGGAAGGCCACAGACCAGGGAGGCTCCTGGGGGCCATTGCTGTTGCCAGGTTGGGACAGGTACAAGGGTGGACACAACTGCCCCTGGCTCTCCTGGGGGCGGGGCCGGAACCAGGACAGGTCAGAGTGGAGTCTAGGACCAGGGTGGGCTGCGGGGTTTGCCTGGAGGAAATTCGATCCTGGGCTCTAACAACAGATGCCTGGGTTAAAGAAGGGAAGCTAAGTGCTGGACAGTGGATTCTGGGAGCTGTTTTTGCCAAAAACCAATTCCTGTCCTCTTTCAAACTGATGCCCACTAGGGGGCACTGGCTGCCTCAGGCTCTGACACAATCCAGGATCTCATCCCTCCAGCTTTCCTGTGTAGTTCAAACAGAAGAAATCACAGTCCCTTCTTTCTTCACGAATATAAAGTCTTCTCCTGTTTGCTTTTCATTTTGATTCCAGGTTAGCCTGAATTTTGCTGTAGTCTAACCCTAGTTGAGATCACTTCTTGGCCTTTTGGCTAATATCAAGCATAATCCGAGTTGAGGCATGCAAATTCCCACGCAGAGTAAGGCAACAGCAGTTTCCAAGGAAGGGACTTTTTAAACTGTTTTTTAAAATTTTAATTTTAATTTAGAGAGAGAGAGAGAGGAAGGGAGAGGGAAAGGGAGAAACATCAATGAGAGAGAAACACCAATCGGTTGCATGGGACAACACTCAACCAGCTGAGCCACACTGGCAGGGCCCAGAAAGGGATTTTGATACCAGTCAATCCAAGACCAGAGGACGACAATTCTTTTACCGCAGGGAAAACTCCAATGTGATCATGTGGAATACAAAGACAGGGTCGGACTGCAAGACCAAAAATCCCATTCTGGGTCAAGTTCTCCGAAGTAGGAGGGATCAGAAACCAAAACCCTCACTCAGCAAGGGCAGTTCAGGCTGCCCTGATGTTCTCCAACAGCCAGAAGCCACACCCAGGGGTCACCAAAGCAAAGACAAGGGGAGCACAAGCTGCCCTCACAAAGGGCAACTCCCCCTCCTTTAAAAGGCACCTACACCTCCCAACAGAACAACAAGCAGGGGGTCTGAGCAGAGAGCTACCAGAAAAGAGAACAGGAATGGGGTAAACACGTGAGACATGCATAAGCTGCATTGAGACACTATGCTCTACCCTTATATTGGTTAAAACCAAGAAGCTCACCAAGACGCTGTGTTGACAGGTATCTCACATGATTCTGGTGGGAGTGTAGATCGAGGCACATACTCCACAGAGAAAATGCATTTTGCCTGTGCGCCCTAGCAACCCCACTTTCAGGAATTTATGTTATGGATGTGTGGGTACAGATGCACAGTAACACATGCATGTGGTTGGGCAGCATGTCTTACAGCAGCAAAACGTGAAGCCAAATAAACGCCCAAGAGAGGGGGCTGGCTAACTACGCAGCAAAAAAACCAAAAGTTCTTATTCCTCAGCCCCGGCAGAAGTCTAAGTTATACTGCTATCTGAGAAGGCAACAGGCCCACGGGATGCCCAGTGTGCTACAGTATGGAAAGGGAGACAGTGGATCACCATTTGCCTGTAGGCACCTTACGGTAAACCCATCTGTGAGGAAGGCTGTCGCTGAAATGCATCCTGCCGCCAGGATGAGAAGCTGGTCGGAGTGCAGCAGGAGACAAAATCAAAGCTCTAAATTTCAGTCTTGATGAATATGTGACCTTTCAAAAAATCAAGTTTAAAAAAATTACCAAAATGTTCATAAGATTATCACTGTGTATAAAATTATAGATGACTTTCATTTTGTTTATACTTTTCTATATTTCCTAAATGTCTTTAACGTTAGTAAAATCAGAATAAATTAACATGAAAAAGGGAAAGGCTCCTGGACAAACCGCTGTCTCTGGGCTTCGATGACACATGGTGTTGCGGCCACAGTTCTTACATCAGGACCCTCTCCAGTGGGAGAAGAGTCCAGTGGGAGGGAGTGCAGCCTGGGAAGGCCAGGTGGGGGCGCTGAGCTGCCGCACTCGCCAAGGAGAATGTGGAAATGTAAGGGAATGAGGGAGGAAGAGAAGGCAGAAAGAGGCACTGAAGAAGGCTGCACCCACATGCTGCTGCCTGGTGCTGGGTGGTACCCTGTGAACCAACCGGCCGGTGCAGGACAGGGAAGGCAAAACTGCCAGGTGGGCTGTCCCTTGGGCACTTGCCCCGGCCAAACCTCCAGCCCCCACTGCAGACCCAGCGCCAGAGCCACAGGACACCCTTTAAAAAGAAAATAAGTTCTTTGCTTATCCATGTTTAAGAGAGTAGGTACTGAGCCACAAATATCATCCGAACAACTGTGAGCTTTCCGCTGTGTCTCCGACACCTGCTGCACTCATACACTGAGTGTCCCAGGCCCCCAGTTCCCCAGGGCAGGGCCAACCCCTCTCCATCCTCTGAGCCTGTTTCCTCATGGGTGAAAGGTGACAGCGACACGCACCTAATGAAGGTGGACCCAGAACTTGGCGCTGTGCCTGGCTCAGTAAAATCACCTTGTATTTGAGGACTCAAACGCACTTTCAGGTTCTCATGCGTAACTTCAGGCTCACCTTTGGTTAAGTATGGAGGTGACTGTTCCAGTTGGGCACACACCAAAGGGGTTGGCACTTCCTGCCCTCTCACCCCATTTCAGTGGCACAACGGGAGAGCACCCAGAGAAGGGAGTCCCATTATCAGACACCGCTCAGGCAGTAAGGCCCACGAGAAGGAAGTGCATGGTGTGCTGCTCGCCTGTCCTACCTGTCGTAAGCTTCCTTGAGGTCCCTGGCCAGCTTGCACTTGGGCAGGATGTGATGGAACGGAGACTGCGGACCATCATTTGCTGCAAGAATTGAGACACAGAAGGACTTAGAATCTCCAAAGCAGCTGTAGGGGGAGTGGGGGGAGGGGGCACACCCACATTGGGTGTGCTAACAACTGATGTTTGACACAAAAGGCTAGAATAGGAAATACCTTTAAAAACAAGTTAAAATACCTTTAAAAACAACTTAAAAAGAATTTTCAGTAACTTTAAACCAATCATCAGGATATTCACAACTGCTTCTTCCTCTTCCTTTTTTAATATATTTTTATTGATTTCAGAGAGGGGGAGAGAGATAGAAACATCAATGATGAGAGAGAATCATTGGTCAGCTGCCTCCTGTACACGCCACACTGGGGATCAAACCCGCAACCTGAGCACGTGCCCTGACGGAGAATCAAACCACGACCCGGTGCATAGGTCAGTGCTCGACCACTGAGCCATGCCAGCCAGGCTTTTCTTCTTTTTTTAATAGTTTATTGATTTTTAGAGAGAGAGGAAGGGAGAGGGAGAGAGAGGGAGAAACATCAATGTGAGAGCACAACATGGATTGGCTGCCTCCTGTACGTCCCCTACAAGGGATAGAGCCTGTAACCGGGCACGTGCCCTGACTAGGAATCAAACTGGCAACCTCTCAGTGCACAGGGTGACGCCCAAACAACTGAGCCACATTGGCCAGGGCTCACAACTGCTTCTCATAAAATTTTGGCATCCAGCTGAATTTAGATTATACTCAGGCTGATTTGTTCAACTGTCTTTTTTTTTTTTTGTTCAATTGTCTTTATATGAAATATCTGTATTTAAACTTCAGCACTGGCCCCACCTGACGCTTTTCCCTGACGCTCCTGAAGACTACCTCGGACCACCAGCGCCATCCTCAGCCTTAGTGACCATGTAGTTCCAGGCCTCATCCCACTCTTTCCCCCACATTTATGCTAATATAATTTCTTTTTCTGACTGAAAGTCTTTTTCATTAATCCTGTCTCATAAATATCTAACAAAACTATTTGTACTAAATTGAACTTTTAAAATTCCTGTGACAAAGTCACAGACTCTAAAGAAAATGTTTTAAGAAATCAAACTTCATTGTCAAACATAAAAAGTAAATTTTTACTGAAAATGCACCTGCGTGGGATAGTTCGTGGATGGTGACCGCTGCTTTTACTTGCTGCTAAAATCAGACTGGGCTCACCTTCAACTGTGTTCTTGGTTTTTGCTTTTGTTACAAAGGTGCTGAGCTGAGAGGATGGAGGTGGGTCTGTTACAGGTAGGTGTCTCTTCACACTTTCCAATGTTGACGGTATGTCAAACACCACATGGTAATGTATCTATTTTTAACAGCCCGACCAGTGTGGCTCAGTGGTTGAGAGTTGCTCTATGAACCTGGAGGTCACGGTTCAATGCCCAGTCAAGGCACATGCCCAGGTTGCAGGCTCAATTCCCAGAGTGGGGTGTACAGGAACATTGATGTTTCTTTCTCTCTCTCCCTCTCCCTTCCTTTCTGAAATCAATAAAAATATTTTTTTTTAATTATTTTTAATAACTTTCCAGTTGATAACTCCATTAGGTCCTCCTTCAATTTAGTTGAAAGCAAAGAACTGAAAAGCACCCACCCTGCCAGCTCACTACTCCCCCGGCCCCTCCACAGGTCCTCCAGCCGAGACGCAGGGCCAGCAGCACCAGGGCCAGCGGGCAGTGGCTGACCTGCGTGAAGAGCCATCATGAGCATTTGTGGGAAGGAAAATGCTTCAGGCTAGGGAATCAGTGTTAGCACATCAGGCCGGGAAAGGGGTCTATAGCTGTGCCCCGGAGAGTCTCCCTCTGCACTGGGGCCTGCTCAGTCCGGGCTGAGGAGCATGGAACTCTGAGCACCGCGGCTTCCATGTCTTCAAAACCAGAGCCGTGTCCTGCCTGGAAACACTGCCTGCTCTGTGCTGTTGGGGAGGAGAGACGCCTGCCGCACTCACCATCGGCCACAGCAGACACCTCGTCCTGCAGCGCGAGGATCAGCTTGGCCTCCCGAGTGAGGTACTGGCAGCGGCGCTCCTCGTGCTGCAGCACGGTGGCGATTCGTCGGGAAAGGTTGTGCAGGCAGTTGATCACCGAGGGATCCGCGTTGGCCTGTGGGAGAAGCCAAGCTTGACTCAAATGCAGCACATGTACTCCGATAATACACATACAAAGCAAACACTGAAACCATGAAAGAATCCTCTACCCCTTTCCCCCAGGCTCCTCTCCAGGTGCCACTATCACCAATTTCCTGTGTCCCCTCTAGGAGCTGTCCATAAACGCCAGTCCGCTCAGCATCCTATCTTGGGGATAGCTGCCGGATGGCAGCACAGAGATGGCTCCGTGGGGTCACCCAGTGTGGGGGGTAGGGAACCAGACATTTCTAACAAGTAGAGCAGTGGTTCTCAACCTTCTGGCCCTTTAAATACAGTTCCTCATGTTGTGACCCAACCATAAAATTATTTTCGTTGCTACTTCATAACTGTAATGTTGCTATTGTTATGAATCATAATGTAAATATCTGATATGCAGGATAGTCTTAGGCGACCCCTGTGAAAGGGTCGTTCGACCGCCAAAGGGATCGCGACCCACAGGTTGAGAACCGCTGAAGTAGAGGAAGGCTCTCACACTGCAGGGCACCAGGGCCATCCAGGAAGGTAGGGCACAGATCAGGCATCCACTCTGGGCCTGGCAGAGGCAGCCAGTGGGATAATGGAAGGTACAGATCTGTCCAACCACCTGCTGTGTGACCCTGGGTCACAGGGCTCCCATCTAAGAAAGGACAACAGTGGCACCCCCATCACTAATTAGTCAGAAATGTCAGGTGCTCAAAACAGAGACTACCCACAGCAAAATCCCTGGCAGTGTTTGCAGTCACCAGTGTACTGCTGACTGTTGGTGGACCAACTGGCTATGGTAGAATTTAGTCACACAGCCCCTCTTATAGGGACACAAAATATAATAAACAGAAGCACCAGGCTAACTGTTCACTGAACATTTTCTATCCTCAAGGTTAAGTGGCTCTTTCTAGCAGACATGACCTTGGCTAACAGGAGAAGCCAGCTGGCTCCAGCCACTCCCATCCCCTGTGTCAACTCTAGAAACTATCAGGGGCTGCAGTCGGGCCAGGCCAAGGGTGGAGCAGGTGGCTGTGGGGTCTGTGAAGATGCTCCTTGGAGCAGATAACTGGCCAGCCATGACTCAGTGCTTCAGGAGGCCCACAGGGCAGCTGAGTCATCCTATGGGGCGGAGGTGAGAAAAGGAAGAGGGAGAATGGTGCTGCTGATTAGAACCCCTGGTGCTGCCTCCCTCTCGTTTATCTGCCAGAGAGCGCCCTGCCCACAGTAAACACCTTCATCCCTGGCAGCTGGGAGAGATTTTCTAAACTAGTAGATCTCATGTTCACAAACAGAACTCACACCTGGCAGCATATCTGCGCTGGGGAGAGAACCAAAGGTTGTTCCCATGCTATGCCCACCACTGGCAGCATCCCTGTCCCTTCATGTCAAGGGCATCCCCTCAACAGTGTCCCCTGCAAGATTACGAAACTGCAGGGTTTAGAGTAGCGGTTCTCAACCTGTGGGTCGAGACCCCTTTGGAGGTCGAACAACCTTTTCACAGGGGTTGCCTAAGACCATCGGAAAACACATATATAATTACATATTGTTTTTGTGATTAATCACTATGCTTTAATTATGTCCAATTTGTAACAATGAAAATACATCCTGCATATCAGATATCTACATTATGATTCATACCAGTAGCAAAATTACAGTTATGAAGTAGCAATGAAAATAATTTTATGGTTGGGGTCACCACAACATGAGGAACTGTATGAAAGGGTCGCGGCATTAGGAAGGTGGAGAACCACTGGCTTAGAGTATATACAATTGCCTCAAAACCCTTCCAGAAGAATCTGTGTGGAAATACTCCCAGAGCAAAGGAGAATGATCTTGAGCACATGGTCATTCCCTTGAAGAGTAAGCCAGTCCCACCTGAGAACATGACTCTGCTAGAGACCCACTGGCTGCGGCAGGACAGTGCTGTCAGGGGCTCAGGGCCCGTTTGTCCCACATTCCCAGACACGCAAGGTGGTGCCTGCCCAGGCGAGGCCCAAGGACCAGCACTGAGGGAGTGTGCCAGGGGGCCTGTTTGGCTGCACAGGCCAGACACTGTTCAAGGTGCCTGCAGAGCCTGAGGCTGTGTGGCCACACTGAGAGAACTTCCACCTAGGACATGCCAGCCCTGAGTGGGAGCTCTTGGAAATGCCACACTTTCCCCACACGTGCTGTGAGGCAGCATGAGGTTCAGGGCATCACCTGTGAGACTTTCTTGTCCCCAGAACTCACACCCAATGTAATCAAGCATTTAGTTTGCAAGAAATATAGGGACAGAGAGCAAGTCTGACTTGTCTGCACAATGAGATGAGTCCAAACATAGAACATGTGATGGGACAAATGGGGGAGAGAGTCCTAGACTGACAGAGATCTAGAGACCCAACAACACATGCTTGTGCAGCTGGGTCTTAATCCTGGTTCAGACAAGACCACCAGCAAAAATGCTGAGGCAATTGGGGAAAGCTTCAATGGACCACGTACTAGTTTATACCAACTTATTGCAAATTTTCTCAGGTGTGAAAAGGGTATTCTGGTATAAAATAAATGCCCATATTTTTATAGCGATGCCTTCTGAAGTATGTAGGAGTGAACAGACATGAGGCTAGGGCTTGTCTTGAAATATATAAGTGACAATGTAGGGGGGGCAGTAGATGGAACCAAGGTGCAAAGGTGACAGTTGTGGAATCTCAGAGACAGGGGTATAGGGTTATCAAACTATTGTCACTAACTCAGGGTTTAAAACTTTTCAAAATAAAAAAAGTATACATTTTTACATGACTACTGAAACTTGTCTACCCTAAAATATCAACTCTTTACATTATTTAAAATCCCTCCCACTCTTCATCGTGACAGCCCATGCTATCTGAAGTCCTATACTACCTGTGGTAACCTACACTCCTCCAGGTTCTGATGCCGTCCCCATTTCTCATCTTCAATGGCCACAAACATGCCAGTGTATAATGACCACCACCTTTTCCAACCTCTCCTCAACGACTGGATACCAGAATTACTTCCAGGCTAATTATTATTATAAAAATCTTTACAAGACTTTATAATATGCATGCTTGCTTGACTGCTTTACATGTTGCTATCACATACTGCCCAGGGATGAGAGCCTGCCGGCAACATCTGGGGTGGGGTTGTGGCTGCTCCTCACTGCCCATCCCACAGGGGCTATCAGGACTGACAGGTGGACAGCATTCGTCATGGGTTTTGTTTGCTTGTTTTTTACTTGAGTTCTCTTTGTGGATGGTTTTGTGTTATGTAATTATATAAGTAATACAAGAACATCGTGAAGATGCAAATACCACAGAAGTGTATAAAGTAGGAAGAAGATCTCTTGGAACTTCATGCCCCCACCACTAACAAATCATTTTGTTCTCACTTGTAGTTGTCTTTATCAACAGGTAAAAATTTAAAAATTAAGCTTCATTCTCATCGACCTTTTCTCTAGCATTATTTTGATTTTGAACTGTTCAGAGTGAGACATGTAGTCTCCATACCAAAAAAAAGCCACCATAAAAAAAAAAAAAAACACCTAATTTTATAGGTTCCCTTTCTACTCAGTCTCATTTCTGCCACTCCGAAGGTTTTCAGAACATCACTGCTCCTTGTCACTGAAATCCAATCACTTTCTCACTCATATTTCTGCACAAAAGCTGTCGTGCAGATCACGTGCCCAGCCAGAAAGAACTTCTGGGTTCTTTGGTGAAAACTGATATTGGTATATTTCAGAGGAATGCCATTATTTAACAGTCACTGGATATAAATTTCTTAGGTATTCCATTAATAATATAAGCCAGTCCTTACCCAGGGATGCCTTTTATGTTTATTTGGATCCCTATTTTGACAGCTTTACTGAAAAAAATTTTCCTGTAATTAATAAAAACACAACTTTAGACAACACTGAGAACAATTAGGCTTCATTATTTAAAAAATGGAAAATATCAAGTGTTGTCAGGATGTACAGAAATTGGAACCCTCGTGCATTGCACCTGGGAATGTAAAATGGTGCAGCAATGTGGAGAACAGTCTGGCAGTTCTTCAAATGGGTAAACACAGTTATCATTTGACCCAGCAATTCCACTCCTAGGTATACACCCAAGTGAAATGAAAACATGTCTCCACACAAAAATTTGTATACAAATATCCTTAACAACATTGTTCATAATAGAAAAAGGTGAAAAAAAAACTCAAATGTTCCTCAACAGATGAAGGGATAAACAAAGTATGGTCTATTCATACAATGGAATACGATTTGACCATAAAAAGGAATAAAGTACTGATATACATGACCAGGGATAATCTCAAAATCACTATGCTCATCCAAAGAAGCCGGACACCAAGGTCACATACTGTAGGATCACATGCATATGAAACATGCAGAACAGGTAAATCCACAGAGACAGGAAGTAGACTGGTGGTTTCTAGGGGCTGGGAGAGGGCGGGAGGGAAAAGGAATAGCTGAGCTCCTTTTAGGGAACAGTAACATTCTGAAACTAGATAATGGGGATGGTTACACTGTTGTAAGATGCCACCAAACCATATACTTTAAAATAGTTAAAATGGTAAATTTTGTTATGTGTATTTTATTTTTTTAAAAAGAGAGGAAAACAGTAAGAGTAGGCCAATGCCATGCCCCCTGCAGGCTAAGCTCTGAGTCAATGACACACTCACCAGAAATGAGCTGCTGTTCCTCCCCTTACCCTCCTTCCTGATTTGCCCATGCTCTTCAGCCACTTATAAACACTCACCCTTAGTGCAAATACCACATTAAAGAGAATCATGGTGGGAGCTTCCCTCTTCGGGGACGGGTCTGTTTTGGAGACCTGTAAAAGACACATAATTCTATTGAATGAGAGCCAACTTCCCAAGAAGAGCTGTTTAGAGCTATTCTACTTTAAGCATGGGAAAGGTTCCAAAATACAGCAGAACCAAAAGAAAACAGAGCCCGTGGTCTCGGAGAATCGGCCAGCACCTCTGCATGAGCTAGTGGTGACGGCATGGACAGATGAGTCCCCACTGAGATAACAGGAAGGTCAGTGCTCTGGCCCAGAATGATGAGGCTGCCCCAGTCAATGGAAGTGGGCCGAAGTGCCCAGAGGAGACAAGATGGAGAGGGGCCCAAGCAGATGGAGTGTTCTCTGCCCAGACATCCTCCCCACTGCCACCCCCAGTGTCCACCTGAGTTCTTGAGGCCATCTCTGCCAGGTATGATAAGTACTCAGGATGATTAAGAGAGAAGACGCCCTAACCGATTTGGCTCAGTGGATAAAGAGTCAGCCTGTGGACTGAAGGGTCCCAGGTTCGATTCCAGTCAAGGGCATGTACCTCGGTTGCGGGCACATCCCCAATGGGGGGTGTGCAGGAGGCAGCTGATCGATGTGTCTTTTTCCCCCCCTTTATTGAATAAGATGTTACAAATGTGTCCTTATCCCCACAATGTCCCCTTACCCCCCCAATCCTGCCCTCACCCTCGCCCCCTGTTGTCCACACCCATCACTTATGCTTATATGCATGCATACAAGTCCTTTGGTTGATCTTTCCCCTCACCCCCACCCTCCCCTGCTTTCCCTCTGAGTGATCGATGTTTCTAACTCTCTATCCCTCTCCCTTCCTCTCTGTTAAAAAAAACATCAATAAAATATATTTGAGAGAGAGAGAGAGAGAGAGAGAGAGAGAGAGAGAGAGAACAATGCCCCAGCATAGACTGAAGACACATGCTGTCAATTTCTTGGGCAGGTAAGGGCCAGCAGAGACAGGGCTGCTGCTCTGGCAGCCAGCCAACCCGTCACAAACACCACGCTGATTTCAAGTGTTGCCACTAGGGGGCATAAGAGGCCAGGGCTCCTGCTCTCCCTGGGCTATCCCAACTAGCTCCTCACCATCCTGCCTGTCACTTTTGTATACGCCCAGGACTGCCAGCAGGCTGCCAAATCTCCCCTCCATCACCTACAGGTCACAGTTAGGGATCTAATCCCTACCTGCAGGGGTTTCAGTGAGGAGGGATGGTGCTGTCCTTGGGGCCAGGTGCACCCAGACCGTCTCATGTCTTAGCACCTCCAACCACCTCAGCCCTTTCCACCAGCTTGGTCATGGAGGATATCTGAGGACCACATCACAGACCCTCATATTTCTGGATCATATAAATGGAGCTAAATCTTACAATGTCATATCAAAATCCTTCAGAATCTGAGTGATGCTGTTGCTGATTCTGCCTGTGTGCAAAGGACTGACTGGCAGGTTCTAGTGTGCAAATTCCTTTGGGTCACAGTGCATTCTGTCTTGTTAAGACTCCGGTACGGTAACATTTCACTCACCAGAGAACGTATATGAAGGATTCAGCACAACAGTAAGAGCTAAATTAATAATAATATTGGCCATGAGATCACTTAACAAGTAAGAAGAAATGCTTGTGCCACTTTACCAAAGCTAGGGGCAGGGACTGAAACTCTGGGGACAAGCATGCCTGTCTCTTTCTCCGAGGGTCCCTCGGGATCTGTGATGTGCAGCTGACAGCAAATAGCTGTGAGGTCTGGCACACACTCGCTGTCTTTACGGGGCCAGTAGCAGCCACGGTTCCCTGAGGGCCCAGGCCAGGATGGCCATGCCTGCCCAGGGGAAGCCTTATATTCTCAGGGAGGTCCTTACCTGCCCCAGGGCATGCTGCAGGAGCGTCGGGTGCCCGACAAAACGCACGTTATCGATCTTCAGTTCAAATTTTTGGCCACACATTTCAGACTTGGTTGCCAAAATTGTTGCCAGAATGACATCTGAAAACCTTAAAATGAAAAAGAGGTAGAGTGGAAATAAGTGAATAAAGTGTCACAGCCCCACACCAGCTGCCCTCGGGGATAAGGATCTCAGTATATGGCAGCTTGGTGCGCAAAGTGGCTTGACCCCCACTGATGACCTGGAAGCTTCTATCAGTTGCCTTCTGAAGCAATCCCCAAGATTTGGGACATAAAATCACCAAAATTACAAGGTAAAAGGCATGAGAAGCATAGACTGAAGGCACATGCTGTCAATTTCTTGGCATGCTCTATGAAATTCAGGAGAGAAACAGGTTGCAGTTTGCTTTTAAAGGTAAAGGGAGGAATAACAGCTGAAGCTGGCGCTGCCCTGAGGAGCTGCTCATTAAGGCTCACAAGTGGGGGGTGGGGGGCTCTACCACCAGGTCCAGGTTTACCAGGCTGCAACTCTCAACTCCCAGGAACCCCACCCCCTCAGTGCTGTGTGAAGGGCAAGAGTACAGCACTAACTGCTAATTATCTTTCTCAGCATGGCTTCCTGACCCTTCCTTATCCTGAACACTTAACCTTCCAGTTTTTATTAGGGAAGAAACTTTAAAAGATGAGCGAGATATCCAGACCCACTGATATGATGTGGACATAGGTTGCACAGGACTGGGTACCACAGAGCAGGAATGGCTGTGGCGTGGGTGAGAGCAGATTTGGATATGAGTTCACCCTTTGCCAGGTGCATCTGCACACTTGTGTTTTCTTATTGGCAACCCAGTTCCTTCCTGCCCACGGGGATCCAGATAAGGGAGCGTCACCACGGGAAGAAGAGTGCTGGGGGGTGCTGTGCAGACTCTTATCTCAGAACCCAGGCTCGCGGGGGCCTTCACTTTAGAAACACTGACGCACCGTGTCTGAGCTGGAGCCAGAAGAGAGACAAGTCCTGTGCGCATCTCTCCACCCGCAGGAGCATTCCTAGCATCCATGTCGGGAGAGCGCACTGTGCTGGGGAAAGGGGCTCCAGCTCCCCCAGGGCCATGCTCTGCCCCTGGGTACCGACCCCAGGAGCCCGGGAGGCCATCAAAGAAAGACACTCCAGCGTGCATCCTGGGCCTCTGCTAAAGAGCCAGGCACCAAAGTAGATGCTTTTCTCTTGGACGACCTCATGTGGGGGGGGACGTGACGGCTACCATACCTCTCCATTTTCTGAAGAAAAAGGATGGTCTGCTACAAACTGCTGCTTCAGCTGACCTCTGAAATAAGAAATGACTCTGGGATAAAAGGATCTAGGAAGGGGGTCATTTGCTCTGGGCTCCTTACACATGGCAGGCTCACCATCTAATGTAAGAGTGACCTGAGCCCTGGCCGGGTAGTCAGTTGGTTAGAGCATCCTCCTGATACACCAGGGTTGCTGGTGCCATCCCCCATCAGGGCATATACAAGAAGCAACCAATGAATGCATAAGTATGCGAACAATCAATCTCTCTCTCTCTCTCTCTCTCTCTCTCTCTCTCTCTCTTTCTTTCAAAATCAATAAAAAAAAAATTTTTAACTACTTGGAGCCAGCCTGCAACAAGAACCTTGCTGATCAACCAGCACTCAAACTGCAAGACAAGCAGCTAGAGAGCTCTTTCCAAGTCTGCAGGAGGGGAGCCTAGAACTGCTAAGGCCTTGGAGGGGGGTGTCACACTGGCTTCCAGCCTTCCCTGGGACTGACATGGTCCTCCAGGTGTCCTAGGTTGCTCTGTGGCCCGCAGACAAACAAGATGCAGAGGGTTTGGCTCTTGTACTGTCAGGACTGCACTCGGCCCTTTTGACACCAAGGTTGTCAGAGAGGTCGTCAGAGCCAGTCTGGGAAATGGGGGACCCATTGCCTAAGTCCTCAGCTGCCTATTATGGGTCTCTCTTCCCGGGAATACTGCTCTCCGGAGTGATTACACCAGAGATGGAATATTCCAGTGTCTTAGACCAGAGGCATTATATGCTTTCTTTAAAAACTCTAAATCGCTCACTCTGCCCTATAACTCCCATCTGATGGTGAGAGAGGGCTCAGAGTGATAAACAAACACTTCTGCCCTAATGATTGATCCAGTGCCAACATTTCACATCCTATCTAAACAAATAGCTCCTCCACTCTGCCACCGAGGGACAAAGATAAGGTAAAGAAAACAACCTCCCACTATTCCAGAAAGTTCACTTTTTCCTGTGATATCCAAATACCTCCATTAAAAACCTCTGCTCTGTCATCAAGACCCACACTTGAGCCTCAGCCCTGGCCTCAGCCACTAGTCCAGGAACCTAAGCTAGTTTGGCTGTGGGATGGGTCCTGAGATTCAGAGGCAAGCAGAGGTCTCCTGAGTATCTATAAATATCCAAATCTGAAAGCATCCTTCCAAGAGCCAAATAAAAAAATGCTTCCTCCCAAGACCAGAGAGGCCAGCATCTGCAGAAGGAGCCAACCAGGAAGCCATGTGCTGCTGAAGTTAAAAGCCACCCTGCCCTACATGGCCATCAGGGAAGGCCCTCTAGGGCGGCCAGGGGGATGGTGCTTGTCTGAGCGAGTCTAGCCCACAGAGAAATCCACTCATCACTGCAATATTAACACTTATGATGAGAAAAAACACTTGAGTGGCTTTATCCTTTATATAGTGTGTCTGCTGATATAATATACACAAAGGCATAGTTATATCATGAGATTTGGGGAGTAGGGGAATAACTGTTATAAATAGCAAATTGAAACAAAAACAAATGACAATATTTGATTGTTGTTTCCAAAATTTACAAAAATCTCTTTCCCTTGTTTTGATGGTAAAAGGCCTAGTAAGTTTTGCACACAATAAAATAGCTGTTACAAAAACTAACATTCCGGGAATAACTTAGAAATTTAAAAATTTTAGGAAGATGAACCAGCCCAGCTAGAAACCAGGCCAAGACCTTCCTCTCCTTCTGAGATAGTCAGGAGCAAGGACTGATCTCCAGCCTGGTCAAAAAAGGGGGGAGGGACAGCATGGACGGGAGCTTGACTCTGCACCCTCCGGTGATGGGGGGCTCAAAGATGCTTCAATGCCCAGAGAGGATATCCTGTCAGGGGGACAGGAGGGTCACACCTTATTCATGCCCTCCTGAGGAAGCGCCAGATAAACTCCATGGGTGCATTTTGCTTCTAAAGGGCACACACAATAGCATCTAACCTCAAGCATTACATTTAACACCCAGCCCTTGGGAAAGAGGTCCCCACTAAACCCCTCTGAGAAATGAAGGCAAAGAGACTAATCAAGGATCTCTCTTGGGGGGCGGGCGCGGGCAGTAAGCTAGGGAGATAAGAAACCCTGCTTCTGCTCACCTACTGGCCTCACAGGGCTACTGGTGCCTGCCTGGAGGAGGAGGTCTGAGTGCAAGCCTGGTCCCACAAGTCTCCCTGGTGCCAGCCAACCTTGCGTAGGCTTCCTGGGTAATGTGAAATAGGTAACTCCAAGTGGAGAAAGGGCAGGGGCCGTGGGATCCGAGCGAGAGCCTGTGTGCCTCATTAGTCATTCTTCAACATTGAGGGGAATCAGGAGTTAAGCACAATTACAAGAAGAGAAGGTAGCAGAAGTCAGGACAGAAAGACGGTGGAGAAGTCTTGGTCTTACCCTGCAACCAATTGCTCATCGGTTGGAGGACATGGCTCGCTGAAAGGGGAACAGGACCATCAAGACCAAACAAAAACACATTGATGTTTAAAATCACAAAAGTTATAGTTGTTTTATTAAAACAGCATTAAAGTCTAGCAGAAGTACTACCATTAAGCATTAACTGTTGAGGTCAAGGTTATGAAACTTACCAGACAAGAAAGGATACAGACAACTCCCCAAGTTGAAGACTTACCACACAGTTTTCTCACTAAAGCTCAAATTCTCTTACCTAAACATCGACTGGGCCAGAATGAGGGTCAGTTTCCAGAACAAGAGCAAGGCCAGAAGACCTGGGTCAGAGCCTAGCACCACACACATTGGCCAGATGCCTATGCACAAGCATTTAATCTGACAAACCGTCTCAACAGGATCAATGAGATCCCCATAGGTAAAAGCCTTACGTAAAATGCAGTGACCACCTCAGCCCCAATTCTTGAGATGCTATGACCACCTGCATGGCTGATCTCCCTGAGTCTCTGCCCACGTGGCCCCGTCAACAAGGCAGTCATGGCAGAGGTGTATACACTTACGTTAGAAAATGTCTAAGGCCTCTGCACTATCCGACCTGAGCTTTTTTAGAAAATAGATTTAAAAGAGTTGAAGTTCCTCTACACAGGGCTATATCATGCTGCTTTCCGAGTTTGCTGGGAACAGAAAGTAGGCCTGAGCCCCACAGTGCAGCATCCAAGGGGTGAGAGCCTGCCAGGACGCCATGCCATGCCCACCAGGCTGCCCCGCTGGGACTGCTGCTCCCCACAGCTCTCACCGAGAAACACACATTACCAAGGACCCATGCAAGAGAAACACACAATGAAGAACACTTTTTTCAGCAGCTCCCAAACTTTAGCTTACTCGTTTGTATAGTAGTAAAGGGGTAAAATGTTGTGTGGACTTTCTCAAGATCATCCAGAAAGTCAGTATCCGAAGAAGCTCAAGTACAACCCCCTAGAACTTTATCTCCTACATCTAGACAGGCCACAAAATCCCTGGCTGGGTTTCTCAGTGGTTAGAGAGTGTCGGCCTGCAGACCAAAGGGTCACGGGTTCAATTCCCAGTCAAGGGCATGTACCTGGGTTGCAGGTTTGATCCCCAGCCCCAGTTGGGATGCATGCGGGAGGCAGCTGGTTGATGTCTCTCTATCTATCTATCTATCTATCTCTCTTTCTCTCTCCCCCTCCTCCCTCTCTTCTATTCTCTCTCTAGAGATCAATGGAAAAACATCCTCAGGTGAGGACTAAAATATATATATATCCCTTAACTTTCAAAAGGGAAGAAGCACATGGAGATTCCAAGTGTCAGCAGTGTTCCATGTGTTCCATTTCCTTACTGGGGGATGGCGGGACATGTAACATGTTAAACTCCACAAGCATGTTTTATGGACCTGTGTCTGCCCCCCTGAGGGAGGCAGAGCCATCATCAAGGAATTGCACATAGAGGCAGGTGTTCCCATGACATCTACTGGGAGGGAGAGGCAGAGGTGCCTTCACACCTGCAGACATCTTCCAGAGGAGGCTCACTGTCTAAGGTACATGCCCAGATCACATGCTTTAGGACACAGAGTGAGAATGAGACCCGGAACCCGGAACCTGTACTTATCCCAGCATGCTGCCCTGCAGGGACATGCCAATGCGACACCAGTGCAGACTCAGCTGGGCCAGGAAAAGGGAAGGGAGGTACCCAAGCTTGGGGACAACACTACTTATCCACATTTCTGTGTATGACCTAACATCCAGCAAGTAGGGGCATCTTTCTCAACACATGTGCCACCCAAGCAAAGCTGTCAAGAGAGGCTCTGGTGGAGCCCATGTGAGCCTGGTATGGAGGACTTGCATGCTGGATGCCAGTGAGCACTACAGCTGAGGTCCCCTCCAGCACAGGGCATGACTGTGCCTAAAAGCTGAACCCACTGCTTCAATAAAGGTAGCCAGGTCTGAGAGGGGCAGCAGGGCCACCTGATTCCATGCCTCACAATGCCAATGGGGAGGTAAAGGGCAGAGACAGAAACCTTTCAGAGCTCTGGGGTGATAGCTAAAGTAAAATGATTCAGAGTGTTTTAAAATGAAGTTAACTCTTCCAAGCCACCAGCATCGCCTTCTCGGAGGCAGTAACCAGAACAATGCTGGAAATATGAGAGGAAGCCAGAAACAGCCCACGTCAGGAGGGAGCGGGCCCCCAACAGCCTTCCCGATGGACGCCATGCTCCCTCTCAGACGTCTCCTGATGGCGTTGTCCCTGCCAGTGGGGTGACTGAGCCAGAGATGGACTGAAGCAGGAGCTCCCTGGCTCCTAATACCCTACAATCAGGGACACTACAACTTTTCTCAACTTCAATTTCAAGACTTAGAGACAACAGACAATACCTATGTTCTTCTCTCCCTTCTAAATTCTAGTCGGGTTTTTAAAAAGTGACAGCTACTTCTTATACCCTGAAACACATCATCTTGATGATTCGCATTATAAAACCAGCCTACTCTCTAAGCCAGTGTTGTTCAACAGAGCTTTCTTCAGGGACAGAAATATCCTAAATCTACGCCATTCAATACGTCACATGCGGCCACCGAACATCTAAAATGTGGCAAGTGAAACTAAGGAAATAAATTTTCAATTTTATTTCATTTCAGTTCATTTCAATTTAAATGGCCACATCGGCCAGTGACTTCAACCCTGGGCAGCACAGCTCTGCACCTTCACTTCTCTAAGGCAGGCCACCACCACATTCACAAGTGACCCATGTGGCCTGTTCACATTGTTTCAATCTGGCAAACTGACAAGCAGGAACATCTTGCTGGTTCCAGAAGAAAAGCACCTTTGAGGATGATAATCCAGAAGAACAGAGAATGGTCTGATGACCTTCACTGCAGTGCTTCAGGAAGACGTCTGAGGTGTAACAGGGTTTCCCAGCCGCCAGGGGCAGAGCAGCGACTGGGCAGGCCTATGTGACAAAATAAAGCTGGGGCCCTAAGGGTGTTAACCTGTATCTCTGAAAATATGGGGGGTGGGGGGTGGGTTCATCAGATGCTATAATGTGCTAACATTACCCAATGGCATTACCTCATAGTGATTTTCTTATAAGCCTCTGAAAATTAACTGCAGGAATTACGTGCTCCTGGCCCTCCTAAAAAATACCTCTACACAGATCATTCCAAGAGCTCTTTCTGAGTCTTCATGTCCTGAGCAGAGCCTCACACCTATGGAGCTTAGAGGAAGAACATCGGGCAGCTGGCCAGCCCTGCTCTAAACTAGTCTGTGGCCCAGCGGAAGACAAAGCCACCCACCCAGGTGCAGGGGCAAAAAGCTTTCCGGGTGCCTATAACAAGAGTCTGTTCCAAGTTGCCACCTTTAAAGGACAAGACAACCACTGGCCTCTACGTCAACCAGGAGGACCCACTGAATGTCCCACAACCTCCCACCTCCCCTGCCCCTCCTGCTGTTCCCTTTTCCAAAGCCTGCTCCCTTCAGAGACAGTCACTGGTCACGCCAGAGGCCCCTGCCATCCTCACACACACAAAATAAAAACCATCTTCTTGGAACTGTACAACACTGTGGTGCCTTGTCAGAGAACTGAGCGCAACTGTACAACCAGCTCGCATGTAAAAGGCCCAGTGCAGGGACCTCAGCTTTTCCATGGGACCGTGGAGGCGACATCCTTTAGCTCACAAAGACCTCGGCTACGTTTAGGGGAACCAGGACAGGCAACTTGCAATCTTTCCTGCCTCATCTGGGTCTGTGTTACCACTTACCAAGCTTTAAAATGAACATAAGAAGGCACAAGCAGCCGAAACCAGTTTGGCTCAGTGGATAGAGCGTCGGCCTGCGGACTGAAGGGTCCCAGGTTCGATTCCGGTCAAGGGCATGTACCTGGGTTGTGGGCATATCCCCAGTGGGAGATGTGCAGGAGGCAGCTGATCGATGTTTCTCTCTCATCGATGTTTCTAACTCTCTATCTCTCTCCCTTCCTCTCTGTAAAAAATCAATAAAATATATTTAAAAAAATAAAATAAAAATAAAAATAAAAAAGAAGGCACAAGCAGTCATTTCTCATGTTGCATGATAGTCCTTCCCACAGAGAACAAGGGAGCACGTACAAGAAGGAACAAGACCCGCTTTCATCTGTGCCCTAAAAGACCACGGGTCAAGTCAGCCCCAACTCTGCCCATACCACCACCTGGACACTCTGCACTGCACCCAAGCACCTACAGGTGACCTCGGGGCCGTGCCTGAGGAACAAGGTCTGAGGACAGCACGGGGTGTGCTTTCCTCCATGTTCCCCTCACAGGAGAGAAATGACCTACAGAAACATGGCCTCATCTCATCTCCAACCTGCTTGGCAGCTCAACACGTGACCAAATTATGCAGCCCTGCTCCATGCTACCCAAACACCCACCAAATGGGAAAAAAGAACACCCGGTTTCTCAGGGGAAACAGAGGTCAACAGCATGTGGGGCTTTGCACAGGCTTTGGGGCAGGACTAGCTCCATCCTACAGTGACTTCAAAGCCCTTACCTGGAGTCACCGTCCTGGTCCTCGGCATGATCTCCCGTGTTGTTGACAGCATATCTGCTACGAGGCTTATCTGAGTGAGGGCAAAAAGGAGACAATGGCTAAGAAAGCAGGACCCATCCACATACAGGAGGATTGTGGAGCCAGTAAAAGTGATGGTTACCAATATGTGGTACATAGCCCGGCCGACGTGGCTCAGTGGTTGAGCATTGACCTATGAACCAGAGGTCACCATTGGATTCCCAGTCAGGGCCCAAGCCCAGGTTGCGGGCTTGGTCCCCAGCGTGGAGTCTGCAGGAAGCAGCCAATCAATGATTTTCTCTCATCATTGATGTTTCTATCTCTTTCTCCCTCTCCCTTCCTCTCTCTGAAATCAATAAAAATATTTTCTAAATAAAAATAAAATGTGGTACATACGCACAATAGAATACTCATCAGCCATAAAAAGGAATGAAGTTCTGGCACATACTACAATGTGGATGAACTTTAAAACATTATGCTAAGAAAAAGAAACCAGACACTGCCTTAGCCGGTTTGGCTCCGTGGATAGAGCGTCAGCCTGAGAACTGAAAGGTCCCAGGTTCGATTCCGGTCAAGGGCACATGCCCAGTGGGGGACTTGCAGGAGGCAGCCAATCAATGATTCTCTCTCATCATGGATGTTTCTATCTCTCTCTCCCTCTCCCTTCCTCTCTGAAATCAATAAAGATATATTTAAAAAAAAAAGAAGAAACCAGACACTAAAGGACAAATATTGCACTTACATAAAATATCTACAATAGCAAATTCAGAGACAGAAAGTAGGATTAGTGGTGACAGGGAGTCATTGTTTGGTTACAAGTTTCAGTTTGGGGTAAGGAAAATTTTTTGAGATAGTGGTGCTGGTTATACAATATGGTGAATTAATTATGGTGAATGTGATTAATGCCACTGAACCGTATACTTAAAAATGGTTACACTGGCAAATTTTATATTACATATTTTCTACCATAATAAAAAATTTTTCAGAAAATATGGTTTCCAAGAAGTTATGATAACTTAGGAAATGCTTTTGCTACTATTAAGGCAGAAAAAAAGGTAAGTATAAATATATTACACACAGATACACATATATCCTCTCACTAGATGATGTCAACTAGCCTGGGAAAAGCACAGGCAAAAGAATGTTTAGCTCTCGGCCTGAGCGCCATTTCCTAGAAACCTCTGTGCCATGACAGCCATGTGGAGGAAGAAGGGAATGCGCAGGCTGAAGCGCAAGAGGAGGAAGATGAGGCAGAGGTCCAAGTACACCGCAAGCTTGTGCACCGTGAAGCCACAGGAGTAGCAAGAAAAGCAGCCAGAGGCCAGGGACACCGGCACGAGCTGCTGGACTGCATGCTGCTGTCTACACTCTCAACGGGATCTAGAAATACATATATGCCATCCGAACGCCGTGACTACGTTTTGAGAGACCCACCCTGCTCTTACAAAAACAGTCCCTTCTGGATCTTTGCCCTGAACCTGTGACATTCTGGACTGGTTCTGTTCTCAGGTGTGGCTGAATGTAACATGTACAATGTATCAACTCCTCTGTCTTAGCTGAAGAAAAAAAAAATTTTTTTTTAATCCATATACTGCCCTAGGTGGTGTTGCTCAGTGGTTAGAGCAGGGGTGGGCAAACTTTTTGACTCGAGGGCCACAATGGGTTCTTTTTTTTTTTTTTTTTTTAAATATATTTTATTGATTTTTTACAGAGAGGAAGGGAGAGAGATAGAGAGCTAGAAACATCGATGAGAGAGAAACATCGATCAGCTGCCCCCTGCACATCTCCCACTGGGGATATGCCTGCAACCCAGGTACATGCCCTTGACCGGAATCGAACCTGGGACCCTTCAGTCCGCAGGCCGACGCTCTATCCACTGAGCCAAACCGGTTTCGGCGCACAATGGGTTCTTAAACTGGACCGGAGGGCCGGAACAAAAGCATGGATGGAGTGTTTGTGTGAACTAATATAAATTCAAAGTAAACATCATTACATAAAAGGATACGGTCTTTTTTTTCAATAGTTTTATTCATTTCAAACGGGCCGATCCGGCCCGCGGGCCATAGTTTGCCCACAGCTGGGTTAGAGTGTTGACCCGCACACCAAAGGGTCGCAGGTCGCAGCTTCTATTTCCAGTCAAGGGCATGTACATGGATTGTGGGTTCATTCCCCACCATCTGCAGGAGGAAACCAGTCAATGTTTCTCTCTCTCTCCCCCCCCCCCCCCAACTCCCTTCCACTCTCTCTGAAAAGCAATAGTAAAAATATCCTCTGGTGAGGATCAACAAGACAAAAAAGTTCAGCCTGCCCTACATGGCTCAGTGGTTGAGCATCGACCTATGAACCAGGAGGTCACGGTTTGATTCCTGGTCAAGGCACATGCTGGGTTGCGGACTCAGTCCCCAGTGGGGATGTGCAGAAGGCAGCCAATCAATGATTCTCTCTCATCATTGATGTTTCTATTTCTCTTCCTGTCCCTTCCTCTCTGAAATCAATAAAAATGTCAATAATAATAATAATACTGTAATTACTATGCATGGTGCTAGGTATTAGACTTATCAGGGTACTCAGTTAAGTTATATAAATGTCTAACCAATATGCTGTATACCCGAAACTAACTAATATAAAATAATATTGAATATCAACTGTAATTGACAAAAAAAGAAGAGGAAAAAAATAAATATGCTCATTATCTCTTAGATTTAACCATCCTACTTCTGGGAATTAATCCTATATCCAGAAGAATGATAACATATACAAAAAGGACATTCACACTGGTTATCGTAGCAAACGATTGGAAACAATTTAAATGCCCATCAACAGAGGACTGGATAAATAAATCACAGTATGCTCATCCCATGATTCTAATCATAATTCTGAAACTATTATCAAGATGGAAAATGAAAACAACACATACAGAACAGTGCGCAGCGTGTTCGTTCACTTGTGCTTAGAAAAAGTAAAATAATATCTGCATATGCTTGTATTTACACAGGAGATTCTGGAAACATGCACAGGAAAATGGTAACAGCAGCTGCCCTTACAAGGGGAAATGGGTGTCTTGAGGGGGGGATGGGTGGTCAATCAATGGTGGGTAAAGAACATTCTTTTCATAACCTAAATTCCTTTGTACCTTTAAAACTTTGTACCCTATTAACAAATTTTAAAACAGAATATAAATTACAAACTGAGCATTCATGATAATGAACAGCTACAAGTAGCCTAAACGTCCATCCACAGCAGCTGCAGGCTACAACTAAGAGCGAGCGTGATCTCTGCTTACGAAGTCGTAAAGTACTCCAAGGCTGTTCGATGGAAGAGCCACTGCAGTTCAATACTCTTATGTGAAGGGGGGGAAAATCCCCAAATAATACACTATTTTCCTATGGATACATAGTTGGTATCTATGTACAGGAAGGACGGTGACTAAAATGGTAAGCAGTTATCCCTGCAACGGGGGAGCAGAACTGGGGGCAGGTAGTCCAAGAAAACTTCAGGTGGATCTGTAATTCCCTATTTTCTCCAAGCTGAACACATTTATGTCAAAAACCAACAACAATAAATGGAACTACTTTAAAATGGAGCTGGAGCTGCCATCCCGAAACTGCTTGTAATGCCTTATATGCCTCAAATCTTTGAAACTGGGCAAAATAACCTTTGGACTGGGCTTAAGCAACCTGTGCCCCAAAGAACTGACTAGAAAGATACAAGAAAGCAGCCCTAGCCTGTCTGGCTCAGTGGATAGAGTGTCAGCCCCCGGACTGAAGGGTCCCGGGTTCGATTCCAATCAAGGGCACGTACCTTGGCTGCCAGTCCCCCCCCCCCCCCCCCCCCTAGTCGGGGGTCCATGCAGGAGGCAACCGATTGATGTGTTCGTTTCTCACATCGATGTCTCTCCCTGTCCCTCCCACTCCCTCTAAAAATCAATGGAAAAATATCCTCGGGTGAGGATTAACTATATATATATATTTGCATGTCGGGTGAGGATTTGCATATATATACCTGATAACTACCTGACTTATGACTATCAGACTGAAAATTAAAAACTGTTCAGAATTGACTTTACTATGTTATCCGACCAACAGAAATAAATGCCCGCCTTCTATTGAAACAATTGTTTCCCTTCCTTTTCGCATAAATACCCAATGCCTTTGCCTCTCCAGCAGAACACTGTTCGGAGCATCCCAAATAGCTATTCTTACTGGCCTCAAGGGAACGCTTGTTGCCTCTCATTTTGGCCTGTTTTTTTTAGGTTCACGCATGCAGTGCTCACACGTATTTCTTGCAGACGCTGCAGACACGGATGAAATGTCAGCAATAGAGGCTTTTGGCTATTGAATCATGACTTTTCTCCTGTTTCTTTTTATTTGTCTGCACTTTCCAAACAGTGCTCTATAAAGAGTAGGCAGTGACTGTATCATCCGGGAAAGGAAAAAGGAAAGGACTTGAGTTTCCACATGCGAGGCGGTGAGGGGAGGGGCCGCTGCACGGGCTGCCCAGGCCCCGCCGCCGGGCCGGGCGCGCCCCCGGCGCTCACTTACTTGTCTGGGACGCCGGGTGCTCCTGGCTCCTCTGGAAGGGGTACCTGAACAGCAGTTTATTGCCCCTGCTCCCCGAGCTCACCAGAATCACGCTGATGGGGCTGGTGTTGTCCCCCATTCTACCGGGGGCCCGAGAGCGGGGGGGGAGGGTTGGGGGGGGGGGGCTTAGGAAGACTGGCCGAGGGCTGAGGACTGGACGGGCGTGCGGTGTTGGGAAGCTCTGGGAAGGCCGGGAACCGGGAAGTGGGGGGCCTGAGGAAGACGGGGCGGGGGAAGGGGACCTGACAAGGACGCCAGCCACCAAGGCCACGGAAGCCCGGCGCGGAGAGCCAGAGCGACGGAGCCAGCGCCACGGAGCGCGTCCCGCGAGGCTTCGGAGATTTAGACCCCAGAGCCAGGCAAAAGCGCGGCGGTGCCAGCCCGCGGGCCGGGGGCGTTTGCGCAGGCGCGAGCGGCCGTGTGCGCAGGCGCAGTCTCTCTCTGGGAGCTACGCATGCGCGTGGACCGACCGCCTTCCTGCTGGGTGAAGGGACCCGCCCACCTGTGTGACTAGGAAACTGAAGCCACATCAGCTCTCGGGTTCGGGTTCGAGGCCGCTGTCTCCGAATGATTCATCTTTCATTATAAAAGTAATACTTGCTTTGGGCAGAAAGGTCAAACTTACAAATATAAAGTACTACACTAAAAAAGTTTTTAAAAAATCACTTCAATGGATCACAGACCTAAACGTAAGAGCTCACACTATAAACTTCTTACAGAAAAGCATGTGGGTAAATATTCGTGATCTTGGAGTGGGCAATGATTACTTAGATATGACACCAAATGCACAAGCAACTACAGAAAAGCTTAATTGGACTTAATCAAATTAAACACTTTTATGCTTCAAAAGACACCACCAAGAAAGTAAAAAGAGCAGAATAGGAAAAATATTTATAATTCATGAATCTGATGAGGGAATTATATCCAGATTAATTTTTTTTAAACTCTTACAACTAAACAATAAAAAGACAAGTAACCAATTGAAAATATTAAAAGGAAGTGAACTGATATTTCTCCAAAGAACATAGACAAAATGCCAATAAGCACCTGAAAAGATACTCAACATCATTCTCATTAGGATAATGTAAATCAAAACCAAAAAAGAGATGCCACATCACACCCACTAGGATAACTATAATCAAAAAGACAAAATAACAAGTGTTGGCAAGGAGGTAGAGAAATTAGAATCTTTACCCGTTGCTGGAAGGTATGAAAAATGGTGCAGCTACTGTGAAAAACAGTCTGGCAGTTTCTCAAAAGGTATAGAGTTCCCATACAACCCAACTCTTCCATTCCTAGGAATATACCCAAGAGAAATGAAAACATAATTCCACACAAAAACTTGCATGTTCATAGCAACATTATTCATAATAGCAAAAAACTGCAAAGAAGCCAAATGTTCACCAATTGATGAGTGGGTGAATAAAATTTGGTATAATTTCTTTATACAAAGGAATAGTATTCAGTCATAAAAAGGAATGAAGTACTGACACATGAATGAACTTTGAAAAAATACGTAGTGTATGATTTCATTTACATAAATGTCCAGAATAGGCAAATTCATAGAGGCAGGACACAGATTAGGTTGTCTAGGGCTGGGGTAGTTGGAGGTGTGTGACTGCTAATAGATATAGGGTTTCTTTGAGGGTGATAAATGTTCTAAATTTAGGGAAATGGTTGCACAACTCTATGAATATACTAAAACCCACTCAATTGCACACTTTATTTCTCTCCAAATCAATACATGGCTTTTTTAAAAAATATATTTTATGGCTTTTTTACAGAGAAGAAGGGAGAGGGATAGAGAGTTAGAAACATCGATGAGAGAGAAACATCGATCAGCTGCCCCCTGCACACTCCCCACTGGGGATGTGCCCGCAACCAAGGCACATGCCCTTGACCGGAATCGAACCTGGGACCCTTGAGTCCGAAGGCCGACGCTCTATCCGCTGAGCTAAACCGGTCAGGACAATATACATGGCTTTTATTTTATTTTAAAATATCACAAGTAAGCCCTGGCTGGTGTGCTCAGTAGTTAGAGCATTGGCCCGTGCACCAAATGGTCTCAGGTTGGATTCCCAGTCAAGGACACGTACGTATGTGGGTTGCAGGTTTGATCCCCATCCCCGGTCTGGGCTCATGGGGAAGAAAACCAATCGATGTGTCTCTCTCACTTTGATGTTTCTCTCTCTCCCTCTTCCTCTCCCTCCCTCCCTCCCTCCCTTCCACTCTCTCTAAAAATCAATAGAAAAAATATCCTTGATGAGTATTACCAAAATATATATATATATATATATATATATATATATATATATATATATATATACACACACACACACATATCACAAGTAAACCTGAGGAATCACCTAACATCTTGCTGTTCCTATAGCTGGACAACTTAGATCTCATTCAGCAGGCTGCTGAACTGTTCCTTTTTCAGAAACATAGATACCATCTAAAATGTTTCTGATATCCGTGTTTTTAACGGTTGTGGCTTGCTGAATCAAAGCAGCTGAATTTGATACAAGTTCAATGTCATTTCCTTCAAGAATCAACTATCTTTCGGGGACTGAGATACTGAACGAGCAACGCCTGACCTCACCCGAACCCTGCGGATGTTTTTTTCACCCAAGAACTTTCTGATTTCAACAGGAGAACCGTTCTCCTGAACAACAGCATTGGTGGGGAAGTGAGTGCACAGGCCTCATTCTGTACCGGAAGCTCCGTGTAACACCCTGATCATGTTCTGTACGTGACTGCAGGTCGTGTGCTCGGTAGCCGGTTCCTTCTATTTCCCCGCCATTTGTCAACATGGAGCCGCTTCTTTTTCTTCCGGGGAGACTGAGCTCTATACCGATGAGATTGAAGGCCCTCCGCAGGGCGCCTGTGAGGCCCTCCGCAACCGCTGTGCGTCCCTGCAGGGCGACGTCCACATTTTCTGGGATGCCAACAGTCTGACTGCTGACAATGGTCTTCATCCTCGCAGTAGATGTGACAAAAAATACAAAAACCAAAAAAAAATTGAATTGCACACTTTAAATGGGTGCAAATTATATCTCACAAATTATATCTCAATACTGCTGTTTTTAAAATCACCCCACCCACCCCATCCCAGTCTTCCCCAGGAGGTGACTGTAGTTAACTGTCTACTGTGGCTGTTTCCAAATCTTTCTCAAGCATTTCAAATGCATGAGGGTGTAATCACTTGGCTAAGGGATTGCTGAAGTAACCTCTTGCATTAAAGCTGACACAAACATGTATTTTGCAAGGCAGGTTCATGGCTTGAATCTCCCAGGGTGAAGGGTACATGCATTTGAAATGCCTCAGACATTACCAACCAACTCATTGCCCTACACAAGGCTGCATAGCATTGACTTAATTTTTCCCCCAAAATTTCCAAAAAAGGAAAATGGTGTATTATTCTATGTTGCATTTCTTTTCTTAATATATTTTTATTGATTTCAGAGAGGGAGGAAGGAAAGATAGAAACATCAATGATGAGAGACAATCATTGATCAGCTGCCTCCTGCATGCCCCACAATGGGGATTGAGCCCGCAACCTGGCCAGAAATTGAACTGTGACCTCCTGGTTCATAGGTCAATGCTCAACCACAGAGCCACGCTGGCCAAGTGTTGTTGCATTTCTTTAATTATTACTGAGGTGGAGAACTGTATCACTTGATTATTTGCCACTATCTCTGACATGCCTTCTTTTTTTCCTTATGGATTCTTTATTCTTCTTTGATGGTTTGGACGCGTTATCTTCATGTTACAGATTCTGCAAGCCTTTTTCCCAGTCTATTTTGACATTATGTATAATCAAAAGTTTTCTAATTTTTTAAAAAAAATATATTTTATTGATTTTTCACAGAGAGGAAGGGAGAGGGACAGAGAGCCAGAAACATCGATGAGAGAGAAACATTGATCAGCTGCCTCCCGCACACTCCCCCACCGGGGATGTGCCCGCAACCAGGGCACATGCCCCCCGACCGGAATTGAACCTGGGACCCTTCAGTCTGCAGGCCGACGCTCTGTCCACCTAGCCAAACCGGTCAGGGCAAAAGTTTTCTGAGTTCTCACACAGTTCCCAGAAGAGTTCCTAGAATGGAAATAAGGGCACAGCCCTAACCGGTTTGGCTCAGTGGATAGAGCGTCGGCCTGCTGACTCAAGGGTCGAAGGTTTGATTTCAGTCAAGGGCATGTACCTTGGTTGCGGGCACATCCCCAGTAGGGGGTGTGCAGGAGGCAGCTGATCGATGTTTCTCTCTCATCAGTGTTTCTAACTCTCTATCCCTCTCCCTTCCTCTCTGTAAAAAATCAATAAAAATATTTTTAAAAAGAAAAGAAATAAGGGCACAGAAGAAAGAGGTGAGGCTGGGAGAGCTGGACCGATGGGAAAGGGAGAGCCCACTGTCTGGAGAGATGGCAGCTGTGGTAATGGAGGTATCTCCACAAGGGCACCAGGAATCTGCGCATGCCTAGACATAAGGACCGGGCCTCCAGCTCCAGCCTCCTTCCTCCAGCTTCCCTGGACCATGCTGCCACCCCATCAAACAGTCCCATGGCCCCCAAACCTGGAGGAGCGGGTCTGGTGTCCAGGGGCTCGGGGGGGCTGCCTCTGAGCTGGGAGAAGGCCCAGAATTGGAGGAGTCCACCATTCCCCAGCTACCCCTCTGGGCCCACTTCCTGCTAGCAACTTTCACAATAGCGTTCACTGCTTATTTTTCAGGCTGAATGGTTAATCTCTTTTCATCATAGCGCGCATTGGAACCCATGCGAGATGAAAGATCACCAAGGTGCCAGCACACAGGGGTTCAGATACACTGCTTCCCAGGCTGCCCTCACGGGACTCCGGTGCAGGAATGCCCAGGGCTGTACTGTGTAAGCAGAGGTCTGACTCCCACGCCACCCTCACCAGCAGCTTCTCAGTGTCTACATGTGTTGACTTCCTTGGGCTGTTACAGAAATCAGAGCTCCTTGTCACTCCTTGTTCAGTCCAGGCAGGTGCTGGCAGCCAGAGGGCCTCTAAGGTGGGCTGGCCATGCTTTGGGCCTCAGGTTCCCCACCAGTAACAGAGCTGGGAGCAAAGGGTCTGTACATATGGTCTTTTTTTTAACTTTTATTAAATTTATTTGGGTGACATTGGTTGACATGATCATATAGACTTCAGGTGTAGGTTTCTATGCTACAAGATCTATATATTGCACTGTGGGCCCACCACCCAAAGTCCAATCTTCTCCTGTCACCTTATATTACGACCTCTTTCTCCCCCGACCCCCTGTTGGTGCCGTTTTAGCTTGAGGCCCTCACACTGTCCCCTGGACAACCATGTACCCAGGGCCACCCTCCTCTCACTACAAGGTACGCCCTCAAACTCTTCCCTGCGAACAC